AATCCAGCTAACCTGTTTACCTCAAGTCCCTTCATGTTACCTTGTTCACATTCCAACAATACATCAAGCCATACAAACCACTTGCCTCCATTCACTCCTATCTAATACACTCGTGCACGCCTCTTGAATGTCCAAGCCCCTCGCATGCAAAAACCTCCTTTATCGTCTCCTTTGGACAACCCCTACTCCTCCTTCCCTTCGTTTCAGATTTATATGTGTTGGGCTTACATTTGTTTGGTTAAGAGTGATCAAGAACAGTAGATATAAAAAATACATTTTTTAGGGGGCGATGTTTAGATGGTGTAAATAGCAATTCTGCTTACACCCTCTCCCTCCCTGCCGCCTTCCAACTTTTCCTCTCCCTTCCCCTTCCACCTTTCCCTCTCTCTCTTTTTGTGAGATAGTCTAGTTACTGCCCATCCCTACACTACTGTACTATACTGTATTGTAGCATATTTCTATTAAATTAATATATACATTAATTAATGTTTAATACTATTTGTAAGTGAGAAGGAACAGTTCTGAATATCAAATATTAGGTAAATATTCTTAGTTAAAAAATGATACCAGGTATGGAATATTATGGCTTGGGAATGCATCTCTAATTACAGTACAGTATGTGGATGTTTACAAGAAAATGGGTTCTGAATTTCCAACACTCGACTCACAATTTTCAGACATGCAATAACTTCACAAGTGAAAGTCCTACTGTAAAAGACAAAATACAGTGGACCCCCGGTTAACGATATTTTTTCACTCCAGAAGTATGTTCAGGTGCCAGTACTGACCGAATTTGTTCCCATAAGAAATATTGTGAAGTAGATTAGTACTCAGTGGTCAGTCGTCAGTACTCAGTGGTCAGTCGTCACGTGAGGTCACAGACCCTGAGCTGCCTTGGGGATTAGTGTGGACGGTTACAAAGCATGGCTTGCTTCTGCAGTGTTTTAAAAATTGGGGTTGGAGAGTTGAAGGAGGAGGTCTTGCTTCTCCAGGAGGAGATTAGGAGGCTGAAGGTCCACCTCAATGGGTCTGGGAGAGAGTGTGAGGTGGCTGGAGTTGTGGGGAATGAGGCTTCTAGCAGCGAGGTGCAGCCCAGCACCTGCTACAAGTGGCGAGTAGTTCACAGTAATGGAAGGCGCATCAGAGTAAGGAAAGTTAAGAGTGAAGATCTGAAGGTAGGAAATCGCTTCTCTGTTCTTCAGGATGAATGTACTTCAGTGGCCAGTGAAGGTAAGGGTACTACTGCCCCTGCTAATGGAGGTAAGCGCATTCTTGTGGTTGGTGACTCTCAGGTAAGATACATTGACCGTGCTTTTTGTAATAGGAATAAGAAGATGAGAGATAGAGTGTGCTTCCCTGGAGCTGGTGTTGGGGACATTGTCAACAGGCTGGATAATATCATGTCAGGTAATGGGAGCAAGCCCATTATCTGTCTCAGTGCTGGTGGAAATGATATTGGGAAGGGTAGGAGAGAAGAGCTGCTAGATAAGTACAGGTCAGCTATAGATTTCATTAAGTCTAAGGGAGGGATCCCAATCATATGTAGCATCTTGCCTAGAAGGGGAGTAGGAAATGAATGGTTGTCTAGGGCAATTGGTGTAAATTGCTGGCTAGACAGATACTGCAAGGAACATGCAATCCCATTCATTGACAACTGGAACAACTTTTATGGCAAACATGATATGTATGCAAGGGATGGGGTACATCTCTCTGGGGCTGGGGTGGTAGCACTTGCAGACTCGATTGAGAAGGCCATTGGTGAAATGCCTATGATTTTAAACTGATGGAAGATAGAGGTATGGGTGTGTGTGGGAAACAAGCAGGTTGCAACACTTGGGTTGGAAACAGTAAATGTATAAAAGGCATTCAGCATGAAGTTATAAATAAAGACAATAGATCAGGTCAGCAAACAAAGGGGGACAGCAGAGGGCAGCAAGGGACTAGCTCCCTTAAGGTTTACTATACTAATAGCAGGAGTGTAAGAAATAAGATAGATGAGCTAAGATTAATTGCAAGTGCAGGAGACATAGATATTATTGCTATAACAGAGACCTGGCTCAATCTGAAAGATAGAGAGATGCCCTCTGAATGTCACATACAAGGCTATAAATTATTCCACACTGACAGGGTCAACAGGAAAGGTGGTGGAGTAGCGATGTATGTCAGAGACAATTTAAATTGTTGTGTTAGACAAGATATTAAATTAGAAGCGTCAGCCACTGAATCTGTTTGGTTACAGCTTCTCGAGGGCCGAGAAAAAACTAATTTTGGGTGTGATTTACAGGGCCCCAAATCTTGATAGGGAGTGCAGTAAACTTCTATGGGACGAAATTCGTAAGGCATCTACATACGAAAATGTTGTGCTAATGGGAGATTTCAACTATAGACAGATTGACTGGAGCAATTTGACAGGAAATTTAGAGTCAGGTGACTTTCTTGATACGATCCAGGATTGTTTTTTTAAAACAGTTTGTGACAGAGCCAACTAGGGAAATAACCTCCTTGACTTGGTTCTTGCCAGTAGGGAAACACTAATTAATAATCTTGAGGTTAATGATGAGCTTGGGGAAAGTGATCACAAATCACTCAGTTTTAATATATCATGGAATTCCCCTAATAATGGCAATCAAGTCTCCGTCCCTGACTTTCGCTTGGCTGATTTCATAGGACTGAAAAATTACTTAGGTGGGCTGAACTGGAATGACCTGACTAAGGGTCAGGTAGGTGGTGATGGTTGCCGATATGATGCTTTCCAGGGCATAGTTCTAGCTGCTCAGTCAAATTATGTTCCAAATAGGGAAATCAGATCAAACAAAAAATGATCCTAAATGGATGAACAATAGATTAAAATATCTGATTGGTCAAAAGAGAGGCATATATAGGCAAATCAAAAGAGGAGAGGGCAATTGAGAAATCGATATATTCAGTTAAAGAGAGAAATAAAAAAGGGAATTAGAAAAGCAAAAAGATTATGAGGTTAAAGTTGCAAGAGAATCGAAGACTAACCCAAAAGGATTCTTTCAGGTATACAGAAGTAAGATCAGGGACAAGATAGGCCCACTCAAAAGTTCCTCGGGTCAGCTCACTGACAGTGATAAGGAAATGTGTAGAATTTTTAACACATACTTCCTCTCAGTTTTTTACACAGGAGGATACCAGCGATATTCCAGTAATGATAATTTATGTAGAACAGGACGATAATAAACTGTGTACTATTAGGGTCACAAGTGACATGGTCCTTAGGCAAATAGATAAATTAAAACCTAACAAATCCCCAGGCCCTGATGAACTGTATGCAAGGGTTCTAAAGGAATGTAAAGAGGAGCTTAGCACACCTTTGGCTAATCTTTTCAACATATCACTACAAACTGGCATGGTGCCAGATAAGTGGAAAATGGCAAATGTGATACCTATTTTCAAAACAGGTGACAGGTCCTTAGCTTCGAACTATAGACCAATAAGCCTAACCTCCATAGTGGGAAAATTTATGGAATCAATAATTGCCGAGGCAGTTCGTAGCCACCTTGAAAAGCATAAATTAATCAACGAATCTCAGCATGGTTTTACAAAGGGGCGTTCCTGCCTTACGAATTTATTAACTTTTTTCACTAAGGTATTTGAGGAGGTAGATCATGGTAATGAATATGATATTGTGTATATGGACTTCAGTAAGGCTTTTGACAGGGTCCCACATCAGAGACTATTGAGGAAAATTAAAGCACATGGAATAGGAGGAGAAATTTTTTCCTGGATAGAGGCATGGTTGACAAATAGGCAGCAGAGAGTTTGCATAAATGGGGAGAATCAGAGTGGGGAAGTGTCACGAGCGGTGTTCCACAGGGGTCAGTGTTGGGCCCCCTGCTGTTCACAATCTACATAAACGACATAGATGAGGGCATAAAGAGCGACATCGGCAAGTTTGCCGATGACACCAAAATAGGCCGTCGAATTCATTCTGACGAGGACATTCGAGCACTCCAGGAAGATTTGAATAGACTGATGCAGTGGTCGGAGAAGTGGCAGATGCAGTTTAATATAGACAAATGCAAAGTTCTAAATGTTGGACAGGACAATAATCATGCCACATATAAACTAAATAATGTAGATCTTAATATTACGGATTGCGAAAAAGATTTAGGAGTTCTGGTTAGCAGTAATCTGAAACCAAGACAACAGTGCATAAGTGTTCGCAATAAAGCTAATAGAATCCTTGGCTTCATATCAAGAAGCATAAATAATAGGAGTCCTCAGGTTGTTCTTCAACTCTATACATCCTTGGTTAGGCCTCATTTAGATTATGCTGCACAGTTTTGGTCACCTTATTACAGAATGGATATAAATTCTCTGGAAAATGTACAAAGGAGGATGACAAAGTTGATCCCATGTATCAGAAACCTTCCCTATGAGGATAGACTAAGGGCCCTGAATCTGCACTCTCTAGAAAGACGTAGAATTAGGGGGGATATGATTGAGGTGTATAAATGGAAGACAGGAATAAATAAAGGGGATGTAAATAGTGTGCTGAAAATATCTAGCCTAGACAGGACTCGCAGCAATGGTTTTAAGTTGGAAAAATTCAGATTCAGGAAGGATATAGGAAAGTACTGGTTTGGTAATAGAGTTGTGGATGAGTGGAACAAACTCCCAAGTACCGTTATAGAGGCCAGAACGTTGTGTAGCTTTAAAAATAGGTTGGATAAATACATGAGTGGATGTGGGTGGGTGTGAGTTAGACCTGATAGCTTGTGCTACCAGGTCGGTTGCCGTGTTCCTCCCTTAAGTCAATGTGACCTGACCTGACTAGGTTGGGTGCATTGGCTTAAGCCGGTAGGAGACTTGGACCTGCCTCGCATGGGCCAGTAGGCCTTCTGCAGTGTTCCTTCGTTCTTATGTTCTTATGTTCTTATTTCAGACCCCCAAACATACACGTACAAACGCACTTACATAAATACACTTACATAATTGGTCGCATTCGGAGGTAATCGTTATGCGGGGGTCCACTGTACATTTATATCACAAATATGCCCATATATTCTAATATCTGAAACAAGATGATGTGTGCATGCTTATATTTAACAAAATAGATATTCTGCATATACTATTTACACATTCACAAAAAATCTAATAACAGTGTCTTTAATGTTGCAATTAACTTTAGGTACACAAAACTAGGCAGAGCTGCTATCACATGACACTTTGCTAGTATCTATAATTTTGTCAATTTGCCAATGTAATTATCATATCTTGAATCTGCTACATTCATAAAACAGCCCTTTTAGCACTCATAATTGCATCATTCACTCCAACCCCATCATAAGAGTTCCCAGCAAGACAAAGTGGAATTTTCATGTGCTGAATGAGCTTTTGTAAATTATGTTGGGTTTCAGAATGCCCAACAACATATTGTGGAATGCAGTCTCTTAGGATGTTTACCTTATAGTGTACTGGCTTCATGGTAATTTTTAGTGTTTCTTTAACTTCTCTGGTAGCAACTTCAAGAAGTTCCTCAGAAGAAGGAGTGTCCCCAAAAAGAGACTTGAACCAGTATCCTCCCATCATTACTGTTAGTATAGTTCGGTCACCTTGAGGAAAGGTACACGTATCAAAAATTACACCAAGTACTTTGTTGGGTTGTGACGAGGGCACAAGGTAACCAAAGGCAGGTTCATCAAGTACCTGACCCTTATATTCCAGGTTTACAACACCTACTGTTGCATAAGGAATAGTGTCTAACAGTCGGCTGAGTTCTGGACTAGTAGCTCTTATTACAGAACTTAGATTTCTAGATGGCAGACATGACACAACTTTATTAACTTCTATTTCTTCTTCATCTGTCTGTACAACTAATTTACTACTACTTTTTTTAATTCCTTTCACAGGCGTGCTGGTCTTTAATTCAATACCATCCTGCACGAGTTTTTCTTGTAGAACTTTAACAAAAGTTTCAAGACCTCCTGATAGAGACCAAACAGCCCACTTCTCCTTCCTTGCCTGTATAACTAATTCACATTTCCTTAGGAGTGGGTCAGGCTTCTCTGCATTTTTCCTATCTTTCAGTAGCCCCACTAAGACTGAGCCATACTGCTGCTCTACTTCATGCAATCTTCTAGCTAGTGAGGTCACACTCAGCTCGCAAGCATTCCCAGCAAAAACTCCCCTTGTTAAAGGATCGATGGCATATTTGGCAACTTCTAAACCAAATCTACGACTGGCAAAGCTGAAGAGAGACTCGTCATTATTGACAACTTTCTTGGCAAATAAATCATTCACAGCGCTCATAGCCAAAGGTTTTGAAAATGGTGAGCATTTTGTAAAAACTGTTTTCAGGCTATTTGGAAGCTTGTGCAGTTTGCCATCAACCTGTAAAAGCCAGGAGTAATCAATGATTATGTGTACTATTAAAAATGATAATGTATTAAATTATTTTAGTAAATTTTGTTAAATGTGCTATCTTACCAGATACTGACAGTAATAGCTCCCACATCCATACAATAAAAAAATAACTTATAATTGGCTTGAATTATTATTCAAGCTTCAAAGGCCTGATATTCACAACCTCTGATTTTCAAATTTAGCAAATCATTCAGTAACATTATCCACATCTACTAAAATGTTATAGGGAATATGAAGCAATGCCAGTCCAAACAGCCAATTCTCAATCATGTAAGCTTGCAGCCACAACACTGCCAGGCAAAGTTACAAATATTTGTAGCAATATGTAAATGTTTGGTTCTAATATTTTATTACTCATTTAATACTTGTGACAGACAATTTGGTACTTGATTTTCTTAAAAAAAAAAAAAATCTTTCAGCATGCCCCATGGGGGGAGGGTGAACACAACCCTCATGAGCCCAGCTTTCCCTGGATCTGCCCCTGAGGTGACCTGCAACAATCACCACAGCCTCCCACTAGTGGTGGGAGGTAGTGGTAGGTTGTAGTGGTGGAAATGGTTGTGGTTGTGATTTAGGTTAAAGGTTATGATGTCACAAGATTCAACACTACCGATAACCCATAATTTGTAGTTAAGTTTAGATGTTTCAGTTCATCCTGAATAAATAAAAATGTCACGACAATGATGCAGAACAGAGCAAAACATTGTCTATTTTCCAGCAGATTTTCAAGATTTCCTTTGAGTTTTTACTGACTCTAGCTCAAAAATGAAGTAAGCTTGAAGTGCCTCCTGCCTTGATTTAGCTGAATAAATGGTGCTCAACCATACATAACATGTTATGATTAATAATTCCTATGTGATTTGCAATTTGTATATGATTTGCAGTTCCTGTATGATTCGCAATTCCTATAAGATTTGCAACAGGAATATGGGTCATGTGACTGTGGCAACACAGCTTGTATACTTTTAGCAGGCAGCAATGGCACTACTGACTTCAAAATATCTATTTCGTAAGACCTGCCAAGGTTGCTAATAAGTTGAGCAAAAGGAATATTGAAAATAATATATTTCTAATGAATGTAAATATTTCCTTCTATGTCATTCTACACTGGAGAGAAATGGCCAATATGATACAAAAAATAAAAAAACACTGTACATTTTAAATGTGCATATGATATTTTGTCAAAACTAAACAGTTGTTGTAACTACTATACCAGAATCATCCTGTTTTGAGTTGATGCATGGCTATAATTGATACTGATAATTTTCTCCCTCAGTCCTAAGCTTTCAGCCAAAGCAAGTGTGTTTGCACCAGCATTTCCTGCAGCTCTGATAAAAATACAAAAAAAAAGTCATTACAATGAAGATTATTAAAAGAAAAAACTTTAAATTCAATTACTGGGATGCCATAAACCATGACCAATCATTCCTGGTTATATTTTTTTCCAAAAAATTGAGTAAATCTTTTTTTTTTTTTTTTTTTTTTTTTGTGATGACGAATTCAAAACTAAGGGCAAGTGTTATATAGGAGAGGCTTAAGGATGTGAGTAATGAACAGGAATGTTGCTTCAGTGCCTGGAATATCTAGTGTCTTTATTTTGGACTTTGGTTTTAAATTGCATTTTTTTTAAATTTTGTGTAAAACTGGCCAAATTACTGACTTCTGTACACTTTGTAGGATAGTTTTGATAGTTGAATGGGCATACTAGTGAAATAGCTAAGAGTTCGGTCAAATTAAGCAATGGAATTGGTTTAAAATAGAACTCAAAATGGGGTAAAATTACCAAGCTGCACTTGGATTGTTAATTTTGCGCTTGTGTAATTCCGTAAGTTTTCCATCAAATTTCGTATTTTTGGTGTCCTTACTTTCAGAAAAAGATCCTCTATCATTCCATTAGAATTTTTTTTTAAATGCTGACAATGTTGGTACTTTTAATTTCAGGGCTTCCATCTGGGAAGGGGGTTAATGGTAGGGTTGGGCCAAAGTATAGGTAACGAAGGTATCAGCCATTTTTACAATGTCAATATTGGTAAAAAAACAGCTAATACTATCCAATACAGTGGACCCCCGCCTAACGATATTATTTCATTCCAAAAGTCTGTTTGGGTGCCGTTATAGACCGAATTTGTTCCCATAAGAAATATTGTGAATTAGATTAGTCCGTTTCAGACCCCCAAAAATACACCTACAAAAGCACTTATAAAAACACACTTACATAATTGGTCGAGTTGGGAGCTGATCGTTAGGCGGGGGTCGACTGTACTTTTAAAATATTAATGTACATGTGTGCCTAAAAATATGAAAATTAACATTCTACCTCAAGACTATGAGGGTTACTTAATATTTAATGCATATTATTTAATCTTCCTGTCTTAATATTCATTGTGCAAAAAGCATTCCCTTATATACAGAACTGGGCCCCAAAGTTCTGACAGCTGAACAAGGTACAAAGGCAATGAAGTCACAAGTTACAAAGGTAATGAATCATGTAAGTAAATTTACTTCCCCATTATGTACCTCTGTAATCTGTAAATACCTTTGTAACTTGTCATGATTGTGACCAGATATACCTGGAGTCCATTACCTTTGTAACTTGCTCAGCTCTCAAAACTTTGGGGCCCAGTCCCTGGACCCATTATGTACCTCTGTAAACTTTAGACTACCACCCACACCACGGGTATGGGGTGCATAATAAAGATATTAAACTAACTTATATATGGAACTAGTTATTATAATTTTAAAAATAAGAATGTAGGAAAAGTATTGGTATCTGCTGAAAATTGAGTACTGGTATTGGCAAATTATTTTTTCTATCATCTCATCACTAGTTAATGGTATTCATGAATTCTGAATTTGTCAAAATCTCTGGGAACCCATCTCTCTCTGTGCAGATACATATTAGTCTGCTTCCCTTCAAGAGAACTCCCTTGAAGACTCACAAAATCACAATAACATGACTGCAAACATTTTTATTGTAGCCAGCTGACCCAGTGGCTTACACATTGGCCTGGAGTTTACAACTCACTTGCCATGGGTTCTAACCCCACCTGTTCCATGGTTCAAGTGCCTTGAAGCTGGAAAGGTTCTTGCTTGAAGGAACTGGAGTTACTCTTCCCTTCCTTGGATCAATCCTGATTACCTACCATTCCCCAAGCACTGTATTACCCTTACAGATTTAATACCTAACCATGAATACATTAATAATAATAATGATTATAATATGCAAGATATGAATAGGGTGCAACAGCAGCACTTTGCTAGACTATATACTTGTAGATATAAAGCAGATGGATATACTTTGGCATATGCATTCTTCTAGAGAAGCAACAGATTTGTTAAATCATTATTTAGTGATACCTAATGTGAAAGTAAAAAGGTAGATGGAGTACAAGAAGAATGTCATTAGTATTTAAGAATGAAGTAATAATGAATGAACTAAATAATGAGCCTCCCACTGCATGTCAAGGTGATGGAAATGGACAAATGTATCATACAAACCTAAGTACTTTACAAGGGTAAAAGAAGAGCAATAATCAAGGAAAAAAACAGAAGGCAATATGCAAATGACTCACTGCTTTAGTAGTAGTGTGTATGCAGGTCAGTACACTACTAAAAACAGAAAATCATGATTTCAAAATAGCCGCACTACTGGGACTTGGGAGACTGCATGAAGAATACCTTGATGTTGATGAAACGTTCTTTTTGTATTTTTGATTCTTGATCCAAGGAAGTAGATTAAGAATCCACATCCTTGGTTCTTACCTGATTACCTCTCATTGCTTTAGTGTTATGTAACTTATTAGGGCTTTGGAGTGGATGCCCTTCTCTTGGACTGAAGAGAAGTTGCAGAGGTTGGTGGATGAATTTGGTAGGGTGTGCAAAAGAAGAAAATTAAAAGTGAATACAGGAAAGAGTAAGGTTATGAGGATAACAAAAAGATTAGGTGATGAAAGATTGGATATCAGATTGGAGGGAGAGAGTATGGAGGAGGTGAATGTATTCAGATATTTGGGAGTGGACGTGTCAGTGGATGGGTCTATGAAAGATGAGGTGAATCATAGAATTGATGAGGGGAAAAGGGTGAGTGGTGCACTTAGGAGTCTGTGGAGACAAAGAACTTTGTCCTTGGAGGCAAAGAGGGGAATGTATGAGAGTATATAGTTTTACCAACGCTCTTATATGGGTGTGAAGCATGGGTGATGAATGTTGCAGCGAGGAAAAGGCTGGAGGCAGTGGAGATGTCATGTCTGAGGGCAATGTGTGGTGTGAAAATAATGCAGAGAATTCATAGTTTGGAAGTTAGGAGGAGGTGCGGGATTACCAAAACTGTTGTCCAGAGGACTGAGGAAGGATTGTTGAGGTGGTTCGGACATGTAGAGAGAATGGAGCGAAACAGAGTGACTTCAAGAGTGTATCAGTCTGTAGTGGAAGGAAGGCGGGGTAGGGGTCGGCCTAGGAAAGGTTGGAGGGAGGGGGTAAAGGAGGCTTTGTGTGCAAGGGGCTTGGACTTCCAGCAGGCATGTGTGAGCATGTTTGATAGAAGTGAATGGAGACAAATGGTTTTTAATACTTGACGTGCTGTTGGAGTGTGAGCAAAGTAACATTTATGAAGGGATTCAGGGAAACCGGCAGGCCGGACTTGAGTCCTGGAGATGGGAAGTACAGTGCCTGCACTCTGAAGGAGGGGTGTTAATGTTGCAGTTTAAAAACTGTAGTGTAAAGCATCCTTCTGGCAAGACAGTGATGGAGTGAATGATGGTGAAAGTTTTTCTTTTTCGGGCCACCCTGCCTTGGTGGGAATCAGCCAGTGTGTTAATAAAAAAAAAAAAAAGGCTATGTAACCCACTTGGGTTTAGGGTGACCACATTGAATACAATAGTAATAATTAAAACTTTCCTATGAATATAATAATGTAATTTTTTAATCATACCAACCATCTCTGACCATGGTAGGATGACTTATAAAAGAGGAAACACATTAGAGTGTAGGCACTCTACCTCCTACCTTAAGAATTGTAACATCCTTACCCTTTCTTTAAAGTGCAGGTACTGTGCTTTCTACCTCCAGGACTGCAATATACTCACCTATCCTTTAAACTGTAGGCACTGAACTTGCAACCTCCATTATTATTATTATAATCAAGGGGGAAGCGCTAAACCCGGAGGACTATACAGCGCCTGGGGGGGGACGTGGAAGGCATTCAGGCTTAATTCGGGGAACTGGAGCACAGATCCAATTCCCTAAATCAAGAGCCCCTCACCAACATCAAGGAACCTTCCTTGAGGGGGTTGCAACCTCCAGGATTGTAATATCCTCACCTATCCCTTAAAGTGCAGATATTATACTTTCTACCTCCAGGACTGCAATGTCCTCACTTATCCTTTAAAGTGCAGGCACTATACTTCCTACTTCCAGGACTGTAATATCCTCACCCCTCCTTCAGAGCACTGGCACTGTATTTCCTTCCTCCAGGACTCTAGTCTGGCTAATATGTAATAAACATTAATATACAGCCTAGGTAGTAGGTTGGTAGACAGCAACCGCCCAGGGAGGTACTACCGTCCTGCCAAGTGAGTGTAAAACGGAAGCCTGTAATTGTTTTACATGATGGTAGGATTGCTGGTGTCCATTTTTCTGTCTCAAACAAGCAAGATTTCAGGTATATCTCCCCTCAAGGAAGGTTCCTTGATGTTGGTGAGGGGCTCTTGATTTAGGAAATTGGATCTGTGCTCCAGTTCCCCGAATTAAGCCTGAATGCCTTCCACGTCCCCCCCCCAGGCGCTGTATAATCCTCCGGGTTTAGCGCTTCCCCTTGATTATAATAATAATTCAGGTATATCTTGCTACTTCTACTTACACTTAGGTCACACTACACATACATGTACAAGCATATATATACACACCCCTCTGGGTTTTCTAATATTTTCTTACTAGTTCTTGTTCTTGTTGTTTATTTCCTTACCTCCATGGGGAAGTGGAACAGAATTCTTCCTCCGTAAGCCATGCGTGTTGTAGGAGGCAACTAAAATGCCGGGAGCAAGGGGCTAGTAACCTCTTCTCCTGTATATATTACTAAATGTAAAAGGAGAAACTTTCGTTTTTCCTTTTGGGCCACCCCGCCTCGGTGGGATATGGCCGGTGTGTTGAAAGAAAGAAAGAATTAATATACAGTATAGTACATAAGTTTTATATGTACTATTACAAGAGATCATAATGAAGGCATAATGAGACCTTAGAGTGCGAGGCCCAAGTTCATATACTGCACCATCTTGCTCCACTGAGTTGATCCAGCCACCCAGTCTACTCGAGGCTTCAAGTAAGAGTATCCTGGATGACGAGCCAAGAGTCTTCAAGTAGTGGGCAGCAGCAAGACCACTTATACCACCCCCAAGAACTGCTATCATATTGATGGCTTTCTGGAAAATTAATGAGACTCTTAATAGAACATGTTGCTACTAGAGATATTAAGTTCTATAAAAGCAACACATTTATGTTATAGAAATTATTTTTTATTCTGACTATTCAAAGGAATATGATGATCAAAATTTTAGTATTTTATATACAGTATAAAAAATTTTTATAAAAAATAAATATGTACACTATTTAAAGTAAAAGGACACAAGTGCAACTAATGTGACATTTATTGTGGCAACGTTTCGCTCTCCAGGAGCTTTATCAAGCCATTACCTTGATAAAGCTTGATAAAGCTTCTGGAGAGCGAAACGTTGCCACAATAAATGTCACATTAGTTGCACTTGTGTCCTTTTACTTTACATATTGTCGGTAATTCTACCAACTTTATTACATGTACACTATTGTATATACAGTACTTTTATTTTTTTTTACCAGATATAGTTCCCCTTATATTGTAATAAATTTTTCTAATATATTTATTTTCTAGCAGGTTCAGTACTTGTAAAAATTAAATATGATTTGTTCATAAATTCCTGAACATAAGGAAAACAATGCATATTAAAGGGTGATGAGGCTGAACAGTTGGTAGCAATTGTTGCCAAAATTACATTTTCCCAAAGCATCATATACAGTGGTACCCCGAGTTTCGTACAGCTCCCAATTCAAACAGTTATGTAAGTGTATTATTGCAAGTGCTTTTGTAAGTGTATTTTTGGGAGTCTGAAACAGACTAATCTAATTTACATTATTCCTAGTGGGAACAAATTCGTTCAGTAACGGCACTCGATCAGCCTTCTGGAACAAATTATGGCCGAAACTCGGGGTACCACTGTATATCCCTAATAGAGAAATTAGATCAAACATTAATAACCCTAAATGCATGGACAATAAACTGAAACATCTCTTGGGAGGGGGGATATTTACAAGCAAATCAAAAGAGGAGAGGGTCACCTTACTGACCAATGTATATTAATGACTTTAAAAGAGAAATAAAAAAAGGAATAGAGAAAACCAATAAGGAATATGAAATTAACATTGTGAGGGAATCCAAGTTTCTTCCAAGCAGCTATATAGAAACAAGATTAGGAAAAAAGATATGTACATATACTTAAATTACTGTTAGTGACAAAGAAATGAATACTGTTTTTTTTTTACATTTATGTTTTTACACGAGGATGGAAAAGAAATCCAAGAAATCAATAATTATAAGATGAGATTTGTTCGGATTTTTAACCCAGAGGGTTAGCCATCCATGATAACCAAAAAGTCAGCAAGTCATCAATGAATGTCTATCTTATTTCCATTGGAGTCCTTCATTCTTGTCCCCCAGGATGCAACCCATACCAGTCTACTAACACCCAGGTGCCTACTTACTGCTAGGTGAGTAGGGACAACAGGTGTAAGAAAACACACCCAACGTTTCTACCCGGCTGAGGATTGAACCCAGACACACATCGTGTGAGGCGAGTGTTGCCAACCAGGGTAATTTAAAACAAATATTCAAGGCAGTGAGAAAGCTACACAACACCAAGGTCAGCAAAGAATTCCAGTGAAAATATTTTGTTCGGTTTATTAAAACCTATTGACTACATGGCCATTAGGTGTTCCATAGCTGGGTTGGTAATGCACTCAGCTCTTACAATGAGGTCTGGGGGTCGATCTCCGGTACGGCTGGAAACATTAGGATGTGCTACCTTAAGACACCTGCTGTCAATGTTCACCCATCAGTACAATACCTGGGTGTTAGTCGACTGGTGTGAGTAGGCAAGTTTATTCAAGCACAGGTACACATAAATACAGTTACATAAATTATCATACATAGAAGCATATATGTAGCTTACCTACGATAACCCCCAAAAAAAGTCAGACTGTCTGCTTTTTTTTTATTAAGATTTTGTTGGAGTTTTAACCTGCTCACCACCCGTCAAGAATACATTAATCCATAAAATATGCACTGAAGTAAACCTGGTGTACATACACGCTTATGTATGCACTCTTGCAGAGAAATACTTTTATTTATGCTGATAACAATATTCCTTGTGTTGTTGTTGGGGTTTATAGGGCCACTGACATCTGTCACCGTATCGAGCCCAGCCATCCAGTGTCCGGAAAGAAAGTCAGACAAAGGGACTTCTTTCCATTGGTGTCCTCGACCAAAGTGTAACGAAGTTGACTAATAGTGGTGCGTATTATATGTCTATAATGCGCCATGAGGCCAGCAAGAACGTGCAGGTACAGGCCAGCATCTGACAGTTTGGAGAATCCTTGTGAGGCCGGTGGTTATTATTGTTGGGTTGTTTAGAGCCACCATAGCTTGTGGAAAAAGTTCAGAACATTTATTATAGGAAATGTTTCCTATAATAAATGTCCTGAACTGTGTAAAAGAGTCGATATCACCATACCATTGTCGGTATCACTATACCATTTCTCAAAGTTTACACCATATTGAACCCTGACTCCCAGGAGTCCGGGAAAAACACATTTGCTTAATTTGAGAAGGAATCAGAAAGAATACAAGGTTCCCCATGGAAAGAGAAACAAATTTAAATGCAAATAATTTGTTTCTTTTCTGCAGTATCCAGATACTGTACTATAAACATAATAAAATATTGTTAGGCACAAAATAATGACTAACATGTGGTGCATTTCGGACAGATTAACATTAAATTCCAGAAATGCTCTGTAAAACTATGGACTTTCAGCATGCTCTCAAGTGTCACTCATTTCCGTATAAATAATGTATCATACTGAAATAAACTTGCCTTTTATAGTAGAAGTTAGATCAAGGACCCCAACGTTAGTTTAATATATTATGGACCCCATACCCATCTTATGGGCGGTAGTCAGATTACATAGGTACATAATGAGTCCAGGGACTGTACCCCAGAGTTCTGATAGCTGAACAAGTTACAAAGGTAATGAACTCCAGGTAGATCTGGTCACAATCATAACCAAGTTACAAAGGTAAGGAATCATCTACACGTCTATACATGGTTATAATCATGAACAAATTACAAAGTAATGAGCCATTCACGCGTCCACACCAGGTCACAACTGTAATGAGTTATTAGTGTAAATATTAATTGGGTCTCACACACACACACACGAATGGAAATAAGTCACTTTGAGTGTTTTGGAAGGGGGGGGGGGTCCTAGGTATTTTACACATATATTACTATGATGCAATAAAATCACAGTAAACAGGTGATATTACAACATGCAGAACAACCACTGTGAAAAAATAGTGAAATTCCAAGGGCTTTCGTGACTTCTCACATTTTGAAGGAACTGTTTCTTGATAATGTAAGAAGCTACAAAAGCGCTTGGAATTCCACTATTTTTTCAGTCGTTGTTCTGCATATGTTACTATGTATGACAATTTGTGTAACTGTGTTTATGTGTATCTGTACCTAAATAAACTTACCAGCCCAGCCTACCCAAGACCAACCCAGTCTACCTAGGACCAACCCATCATACCCAGGACCAACCCAGCCTACCCAGGACCAAACCAGCCTATCCAAGACCAACCCAGCCTACCCTGGAACCAACCCAGCCTACCTAGGACGAACCCATCATACCCAGGACCAACCCAGCCTACCTAAGGCCAACCCAGCCTACCAAGGACCAACCCATCATACCCAGAACCAACCCAGCCTACCTAAGGCCAACCCAGCCTACCTAGGACCAATCCATCATACCCAGGACCAACCCAGCCTACCCAGGACCAAACCAGCCTATCCAAGACCAACCCAGCCTACCCTGGAACCAACCCAGCCTACCTAGGACCAACCCATCATACCCAGGACCAACCCAGCCTACCTAAGGCCAACCCAGCCTACCTAGGACCACCCGAGACTACCCAGTACCAACCCAGACTACCCAGGACCAACCCAGCCTACCTAGAACCAATCCAGACTACCCAGAGCCAACCCAGCCTACCAGGATCAACCCAGCCTACCAGAATCTACCCAGCCTACCCAGGACCAACCCAGCATACCCAGGACAAACCCAGCATAACCAGGACCACTCCAGCCTACCCAGTATAAACCCAGCATACCCAGGACCAACCCAGCCTACCTAGGACCAACACAGTCTACCCAGGGCCAACCCAAACTACTCAGGACCAACCCAAACTACTCATGACCAACCCAGACTACCCAGGACCAATCCAGACTACCCAAGACTAACCCAAACTACCCATGACCAACCCAGACTATCCAGGACCAACACAGCCTACCCAGGACCAACCCAAACTACCCAAGACCAACCCACACTACCCAGGACCAACACAGCCTGCCTAGGACCAACCCAAACTAGCCAGGATCAACCCAAACTAGCCATGACCAACCCAAACTTCCCAGGACCAACCCAGACCAATCAGGACCAACCCAGACTACCCAGGACCAACCCAAACTACCCAGGACCAACTCAGACTATCCAGGAGACCAGCAAAGGTATTGTGAAGGGCTACTGAACATTACACTTTTAACAAGACCAGTAAGGGAAACAAAGTTGTCTCCGTAGAGAAACTAAGTTTATTTAGGTACAGATACACATAAGTACAATTATCATACCTAGTGACATATATGTAAATAACCTAGGATAACCCCCAAAAGTCAGACAGTTACTTATTTCCATTAGGGTCACTATTATTGTGATCTGATCCTCTTTACCCCTCACCTGGAGTTTACCTGGAGAGAGTTTCGGGGGTCAACGCCCCCGCGGCCCGGTCTGTGACCAGGCCTCCTGGTGGATCAGCGCCTGATCAACCAGGCTGTTGCTGCTGGCTGCACGCAAACCAACGTACGAGCCACAGCCCGGCTGATCAGGAACTGACTTTAGGTGCTTGTCCAGTGCCAGCTTGAAGACTGCCAGGGGTCTGTTGGTAATCCCCCTTATGTGTGCTGGGAGGCAGTTGAACAGTCTCGGGCCCCTGACACTTATTGTATGGTCTCTTAACGTGCTAGTGACACCCCTGCTTTTCATTGGGGGGATGGTGCATCGTCTGCCAAGTCTTTGCTTTCGTAGTGAGTGATTTTCGTGTGCAAGTTCGGTACTAGTCCCTCTAGGATTTTCCAGGTGTATATAATCATGTATCTCTCCCTCCTGCGTTCCAGGGAATACAGGTTTAGAAACCTCAAGCGCTCCCAGTAATTGAGGTGTTTTATCTCCGTTATGCGTGCCGTGAAAGTTCTCTGTACATTTTCTAGTCGGCAATTTCACCTGCCTTGAAAGGTGCTGTTAGAGTGCAGCAATATTCCAGCCTAGATAGAACAAGTGACCTGAAGAGTGTCATCATGGGCTTGGCCTCCCTAGTTTTGAAGGTTCTCATTATCCATCCTGTCATTTTTCTAGCAGATGCGATTGATACAATGTTATGGTCCTTGAAGGTGAGATCCTCCGACATAATCACTCCCAGGTCTTTGACGTTGGTGTTTCGCTCTATTTGTGGCCAGAATTTGTTTTGTACTCTGATGAAGATTTAATTTCCTCGTGTTTACCATATCTGAGTAATTGAAATTTCTCATCGTTGAACTTCATATTGTTTTCTGCAGCCCACTGAAAGATTTGGTTGATGTCCGCCTGGAGCCTTGCAGTGTCTGCAATGGAAGACACTGTCATGCAGATTCGGGTGTCATCTGCAAAGGAAGACACGGTGCTGTGGCTGACATCCTTGTCTATGTCGGATATGAGGATGAGGAACAAGATGGGAGCTAGTACTGTGCCTTGAGGAACAGAGCTTTTCACCGTAGCTGCCTCGGACTTTACTCTGTTGACGACTACTCTCTGTGTTCTGTTAGTGAGGAAATTATAGATCCATCGACCGACTTTTCCTGTTATTCCTTTAGCGCGCATTTTGTGCGCTATTACGCCATGGTCACACTTGTTGAAGGCTTTTGCAAAGTCTGTATATATTACATCTGCATTCTTTTTGGTTCCTTGATGCTGGTGAGGGGCTCTTGATCTAGGGAATTGGATCTGTGCTCCGGTTCCCTGAATTGAACCTGAATACCTTCCATCCCCCCCCCCCACATGTGCTGTATAATCCTACTGGTTTAGCGCTTCCCTGTTATTATAATAATATCAATCCCCTATAATGTTAATATAAATAACTCAGTTCTCATTATTCCTGGTATAATATCTCCTTTTTTGTGACTGATTTTCACACAGTTGAGTTACTTAGCTGTTTTAATTTTTAAGGTTTAAACAAATAACCCGCACATAGAAGAGAGGAGCTTACAACGACGTTTCGGTCCGATTTGGACCATTTACAGTCACACTAACGAAAAGAAGAGAGAGAGGGGTATATATAGGGGCATATATAGCCTTGATTTTCTTAGAGAAGGCCAATGAAGGGTTTCATCTCCCTATACCTACTGATGTCTTTCTTGATCTTATCCATCCGCCTCTGTGAATCTTTCCAAGGGAAATATTATTCTCAAACCTTCGTTGTCGCTATGGGCTCTCCTCTTTCTCCTGTCTTTGCTAGTCTTTACATGGAATACTTCGGGACTGTTCTTCTTCCTACTATCGATGTGCGCCCTTCACTCTAGCTCCGCTATGTAGATGACGTTTTTGCTCTATGGCCTCATGACTCTCGTCTCTTCCAACCATTTCTTGATGCTCTTAATAATATTGCCCCTTCCATTAAGTTTAAAGATGAATGGGAATCTAATTCCTTGATGTCCATCTCCACCTCTCAGATACAGGTTTTGCCTTTTCTGTTTACTGCAAGCCTATGCACAGTGGCATGTACATTTACTATTTTTCTTATCGTGCTTCCTCTGTCAAGAAAAGTGTTATCTCCCTCTTTCTCCGTGCCCTCCGCATTTGTGATCCTCAGGTCCTTCAATCAGAAATTTCCACTCTGCATAATTCATTTTCCCATCTTGGCTACCCTTCCTATTTCACAGACTCTGCCTTCTCACGTGCTAAACGTAATTTCTTCTCTCCCAAACTCTCTACTCCTGGTAACTCTTCTGTCCTCTGCCTTCCCTACATTTCTGGTCTTCCTAATCTCAATAACTCTCTCCATTCCTTAGACATCAAACTTACTTTCCACCAGACTAACACTCTTCGCACTAATCTCGTTCATACCTCTTCTCCCTCCACAGATGCTCCTGGTGTCTACTCCATTTCTTGTTCCCCCTGTCCTCTCCAATACTTTGGAGAAACTAGGCAATCTCTTTCTGACAGACTCGGGGAGCACAAAAATAGTGTTAGGCTTGCCGACACTAACAATACTCTTTTCTGTCACGTCAGAGATCACAGCCATCCTATCGGCTGGTCTTCTGCTAAAACTGTCTTCCCTACTTCCAACTTCAACAGTCGCCGTCTGGTTGAATCCTCCCTAATACACAACTTTCCTTGTATGAATCTTAGTCCTGGCTTTGTCTCTGTAGATGCCTTCCTTTCCCACTACATTGCAAAATGTTCCAACCTTCAGAACACTTATGACTTAACCTGATTCCTCCTTTTTCTTCTTCTCCCTCTTCCCCTTTCCTCTTTCCTTTTTCTCCTTTGGGTTGTCTTTCTTCTGCCTTGTGTATTTGTTCCTTCTTTATTTATTTATTTTTCGCCCTCTATGTACTTGCTTACCCTCTGTGGGCACCTAGCTCCCTTGCAGTGCTCCTCTTTCTTAGTATTTGACTGGCTCCTCCTCCTTACTACCTCCCTCACTACTACTACAACCTTCTACCTCCACTACTACTACCACCACCTCCTGGCTATATATATCCCTCCCTCTCTTCTTTTCGTTAGTGTGACTTTGTAAATGGTCCCAGTTGGACCGAAACGATGTTGTAAGCTCCTCTCTTCTATGTGCGGGTTATTTGTGTTTTGTTCCAGTCATGGTATTGTGACTTTTTTTGTTATTTAAGGTTTAAATAATAAGATATTACAAGGACCCCAATGGAAATAAGCCACTTTGACTTTTTGGGAGGTTATCCTAGGTTATCTACACATTTTTTTTTTTTTAACAAGTCGGCAGTCTCCCACCGAGGCAGGGTAACCCAAAGAGAAAGAAAATCCCCAAAAAGAAAATACTTTCATCATCATTCAACACTTTCACCTCACTCACACATAATCAATGTTTTTACAGAGGTGCCCAGAATACAACAGTTTAGAAGCAGATACATATAAAGATACACAACATATCCCTCCAAACTGCCAATATCCCAAACCCCTCCTTTAGAGTGCAGGCATTGTACTTCCCATTTCCAGGACTCAAGTCTGGCTATATAAAAATAACCAGTTTCCCTGAATCCCTTGACTAAATATTACCCTGCTCACACTCCAACAGCTCGTCAGGTCCCAAATACCATTCATCTTCATTTACTCCTATCGAACACGCTCACGCACGCTTGCTGGAAGTCCAAGCCCCTCACCCACAAAACCTCCTTTACCCCTTCCTTCCAACCTTTTCGAGGACAACCTCTATCCCACCTTCCTTCCCCAACAGATTTATATGCTCTCCATGTCATTCTACTTTGATCCATTCTCTCTAAATGACCAAACCACCTCAACAACCCTTCTTCAACTCCACACCTTCTCCTAATTTCCACACTCCAAATTTTCTGCATAATATTTACACCACACATTGCCCTTAGACAGGACATCTCCACTGCCTCCAACCGCCTCCTCGCTGCAGCATTTACAACTCAAGCTTCACATCCACATAAGAGTATTGGTACTACTATACTTTCATACATTCCCTTCTTTGCCTCCATAGATAACGTTTTTTGTCTCCACATATACCTCAACACACCACTCACCTTTTTTCCCTCATCAATTCTATGATTAACCTCATCCTTCATAAATCCATCCGCCAACACGTCAACTCCCAAGTATCTGAAAACATTCACTTCTTCCATACTCCTCCTCCCCAATTTGATATCCAATTTTTCTTTATCTAAATCATTTGATACCCTCATTACCTTACTCTTTTCTATGTTCACTTTCAACTTTCTACCTTTACACACATTCTCAAACTCATCCACTAGCCTTTGTAATTTTTCTTTAGAATTTCTCATAAGCACAGTATCATCAGCAAAAAGTAACTGTGTCAATTTCCATTTTGCATTTAATTCCCCATAATTTAATCCCACCCCTCTCCTGAACACCCTAGCATTTACTTCTTTTACAACCCCATCTATAAATATATTAAACAACCATGGTGACATTACACATCCCTGTCTAAGACCTACTTTTACCGGGAAGTAGTCTCCCCCTCTTCTACACACCCTAACCTGAGCCTCACTATCCTCATAAAAACTCTTTACAGCATTTAGTAACTTACTACCCATTACATATACTTGCAACATCTGCCACATTGCTCCCCTGTCCACTAACATATGCCTTTTCTAAATCCATAAATGCAAAAACAATTTCCCTACCTTTATCTAAATACTGTTCACATATATGCTTCAATGTAAACACTTGATTTACACATCCCCTACCCACTCTAAAACCTCCTTGATTATTTTGATTATATAAACATTCACCCTAGGTAATAGGTTAGTAAACAGCAACCACCCAGAGAGGTACTACTGTCCTGCCAAGTGAGTGTAAAATGGAAACCTGTAATTGTTTTACATGATGGTAGAATTGCTGGTGTCTTTTTGTCTCATAAACATGCAAGATTTCAGGTACATCTTGCTACTTCTACTTAACTTAGGTCACACTACACATACATGTACAAGCATGTACACACCCCTCTGTGTTTTCTTCTATTTTCTTACTGGTTCTTGTTGTTCATTTTCTCTTATCTCCATGGGGGAAGTGGAAACGAATTCTTCCTCAGTAAGCCTTTCATTTTTCTTTTTACTGTAGGTCACCGTGCCTTGGTGGGATACAGCCGGTTTTGTTGAAAAAAAATCAAACATTCACCCTTAGGGTAAAGAGTTACCTTTGATATACCTTTGAAGAATTTCGAGAGTTTCACTACTCTCGAAGCCCGGCCATGGGCCAGGCTCGTCTGATCAACCAGGCCATTGCTGCTGGAGGCCCGCTGCCCCAGTTAATTAATGAATTTTGTTTAGATGTACATATGATAAAATAAGCAGACTTTCAATTAAGTATATTAAGCAGGTGTGATACAGTGTAATGAAACAGCAGCTAGGTTCTTCTCAGTATGAACTCTTTCTTAAAGTTTTAATGTTTTTACACTTGTTTAGATTGTCTTCATGACTCTCCTGTAATATGAATATAATCTGAGTTTAAGAAGGAGCAACTTACCAGTTAATGACCACTTCAAGTAGTAACATTTGAGCAGTCACTACAACTGAGATAGGTGAGCTAAATAAAACAAAGAATAAAAACAAATGCATAAAATCATTACATTTATTTAATTTGCATACTGTATATAAATTCTACAGTTATTTTATGTCAAGCAAAACAAATAATTATGCAAATATACACACATTAAAATTTACTACTTCTTTTCCGGCCTGTATATTTAGAGTCCAGCCGCACCTCCTTGCCCTGCTTTCTTCGCCGTTCCTTTTTCTGCATGATCCACGCTCGCTTTGGCAGGCGACCACTGCGAATCTGCTTCATGCGTTCTCTGAAAAAAAATTAACCTTGTTTTAAACTAAGAAATTATGCATGACCTATGACATTAATGCAAATAAAGTGGATCCCCGCCTTACGAATGCATCGCGTTACGTTAAATCCGCCATACAAAGCATTTGAATGCAAAAATTTTGCCTCGCCTCACGATAAAAAACTCGTCTTAGGTGATTCATCCGGGATGCATCCCACGTGTGGCCTCAGCGCCAGTGTTTACAAGCCAGCCAGTGCGGTCGCATCTACGCATACATTTGGTACATTTCATATTATCCCAGTGTTTTTAGTGCTTGTAACTGCAAAATAAGACACCATGGACCCCAAGAAAGCTTCTAGTGCCATCCCTGTGGTAAAAAGGGCGAGAATTAGTATGGAATTGAAAAAAGAGATTAAGGAAATGTGTGCAAAGTGGGTTGAACTGCAAACCTTTACGGATGAAAATCACCCTGACACAGCTACTGCAAGCTGTGTTGGCAACCTGTACAATGACAATGTTATGGCCCATTTTAGGAAAGTCTTAAAGGAACGGGAGGTACAGAGCTCTAGGGACAGATTTGTTGTGCGACAGAGGTCCAGTGACTCTCAAGCTGGTCCTAGTGGCATTAAAAGAAGAAGAGAAGTAATCCCAGAAAAGGACTTGCTACCTCAAGTCATAATGGAAGGGGATTCCCCTCCTAAACAATAACTTCCATGCTCTCCCCTCCTCCCATCCCATCAATCATCACCAGATTTTCAATAAAGGTAAGTGTCATGTAGTATTCTATTCTTAGTAGAGTAGTAATTGTGCATGCCTTCTTCAGTTTGTGTGTATTAAAATTAGTATTTCATGTGATAAAAAAATTTTTTTTCATACTTTGGGGTGTCAGGAACGAATGTAATTTGATTTCCATTATTTCTTACGGGGAAAATTAATTCAGCTAATGATATTTTCCTCTTACGATGAGCTCTCAGGAACAGATTAATATTATAAGGCGGGGGTCCACTGTATTCCACTCAAGTATGCTCAATCTTCTCTACACTACAAAAATAATACAAGAGGTCTATAACAAACAAGTTGTATTCCTGTGTGTTTTTTAATACAGCTTCTCCTCACTTAATGATGGAGTTCTGTTCCTAAGATCACGCCGGTAAATGAATTCGTCGCTAAGTGAGGAGCATACTATAATGGTAGTGGGTTTATGTCAACCATCTTTGATATTGTTTTAATGTCACCTTTTGCACCATTTATAACATTTCTGGTATATTTTTAAATGTTTATACTGTATTGTACTGTATAGTGTAATAAACAGAATAGAGGAAATCAGCTCTAATATACATTATTTAGTTATGCATACTGGTCAGAGAGCCCGTTGTAAGTCTGAGTTGTTGGTAAACAAGCACATTGCTAAGTGAAGAGAGGCTGTATTTTACTTTCCATTATTGTAATATTAAATTTCCAATTTAGTGTGAGATTGAGCCAAGATAGCAATGATCCTGGAATCACTCACGATATAACCAAAGTAAATTATTAAGTATTAGAGAAGCTTGAATGGGAGACTACCATTTTAATTACACAAGATGACAGTATGAAACTGCCTTTCTGAACAGTAAACAAAGTAGTAGTCCTGAGTGCTGCAACCCTGAAGCATAACTGTGTCTGGACAGATTGTGCATTGTTTGAAAAACACAACAAAATCTCTGAGAGAGTCAGTGATAAACTGTGAAGCCAAAATTTGTAAACAATGAGATACCCGGTAGACAAAAGAGAACAGAAAGTGACAGTGATAAATGAAGTTGTATTGAAACACTGTGGTGTGAAGTGAACTTTGCATTTGTGCTTATGCTTCAAGATTGTGGTCTTAATAAAGTGTGATTTTTTTTTAACACTCCAGCTATCTCTCGTCGAGGCAGGGCAACTCATGTGAACTGTAATGTTAGTGCACAAGACAGTGATTAAATAAGTGCCAGTGAAAGTCTTCTTTGTAGAGTCACCCCTCCTCTGAAGGAGGGGTGTGGATGTTGAGGTTTGGATGGTCATCTGAAGTGTAATGTCAGTGCACTTCAGGCAAGTTTGGCTTACTGGTTTCCCTGAATCCCTTCATAACTACTGCCTTGCTCACATTCCAATAGCATGTTAAATTATAAAATCCACTTGCCTTCACTCACTCCTATATAAGATGCATGCACAAGCCAAGCTTGGATGACCCATTCCTTACCTTCTCTCCACCCCAGATTTATGTGCACTCCTTATCATATTTTTTTTCCATCCTCACTAAATGCCCAAACCAAACTTGTGTATGTATCACCAAGACTCCTTTTTGTATGTACTGTAATACAGTACTAACTACAGTGGTACCTCAGGTTATGAACTTAATTCGTTCCAGAAGTCTGTTCGAGTGCCGATACCGAATGAATTTGTTCCCATAAGGAATAATGTAAATTAGATTAGTCCGTTTCGGACCAACAAAAATACACTTACAAAAGCACTTACAAAAACACACTTACATAATTTTAAGAGTTGGGAGCTGTTCGAAACTCGAGGTACCACTGTACAGTGGCCCCTCAATAATCGTCCAGCCTGAAAGTCGTCCATTTTGGAAATACTAGTCCCGTTATTTCGTCTAAACATTGGCTCGCAAATGGTCCATTAACTCGCTAATCGTCTTTCGTCCTGGACGTGTACTCACGGCTCTGAGCCATTCCCAGCCAGTGTGCCATTGTTTACCAGTGAGCGACGGTCCCCTCACGTGTTCATACGAAATATTTCATAATATTCCATTCATTTTAGTGATTGCAAGTGCTAAATAAGCTACCATGGCTCCAAAGAAAGCTCCTAGTGCCAAACCTTGGTAAAGAAGGTGAGAAATACGAGTGAATTTAAGAAAAACATCATTGAACAATATGAAAGGAGCAAGAGTTTCAGCAGGAAGAGCAACAGATCGCAGCTCAGAATCTTGCTGCAGAGGAGGAGGAAGAGAGATGGAAGAAGGTGCCTTCTTCAGAAATTAAGGAGATTTTTGAAATGTGGGGTAGGATGGAAAGATTTATGGAGAAACATCACCCTGAGAAGGATGTTGCAAGCCATATCAGCAACTTGTACAGTGACAGAGTCTTGGCCCATTTTAGGGAAGTTTTAAAGAGATGCCAGAAACAGAGCTCTCTGGACAGTTTTTTTGGGAGACAGGACTCCAGTGACTCTCAAGCTGGTCCTAGTGGCATTAAGAAACAGAGAAGAGAAGTAACATCAAAAAAGCACTTGGTACCTGAGGTGTTGATGGAAGGGCATTCCCCTTCCAAACAGTAATTCAATGTCTCTCCTTCTCCAGTCTTCCATACACAAAGAAGAATTGCCAATAAAGGTAAGTGTTATGCTGTTAATGTTTCATTCATCATGTCTCATTGTATTGTTTATGTACTACATCTATATTTCATGTAAAAAATTTTTTTGTTTTAATACTTCTGGGTGTCAGGAACAGATTAATTGCATTTACATTATTTCTTATGGAGAAAATTGATTCGAAAATCGTCTATTTCGATAATAGTCCTACTTCCAGGAACGGATTATGGACGATAATTGAGGGACCACTGTACTTGGTAACAATCAGACTCTCAGTTACCACCATAAAAACATTCACACTCAATTGCCAGAGTGACAGCAGTGCAACTCACCTACGCTGATAGAGTGCCTGGCTGCTGTTGCTGCTTCCTTCATCCTGTAAACCACTGGGAAGTGAACCACCACCTGTCATCAGCACCAAGTATATCTTCTTAGCCTGTCAAAAATATATAATTTGTCTCTTACAACTTCTTGAAATGCCATAGGAAAACATTGTCAAGATTTGTTGCTACCTACAATTCAAGGTATACAGCAATAATTATATTTACAGCAAAAAAGTGAAAGTATGGTATGATTTTTAAGAAAGTTACAATTTAGTAGGTATAGTACTACTGCAAGGCCCATAGTATGTATAGCACTTTGGGCAAAACTGAAGCTATTGAAAACCTAGAATTTAAATTTTATACAGTACAACATTCAGCTTATTAATCAATAATAGTAAATAGCATAGGAAACTGACAGGTTGTGGTTAATAAAGACATAAGTAGCAATTGGAAACTTTATTGTGTAAGTACCTACTGCGTTCCTCTTCTGCCTATAAACTGCGCTACTACCATGTAGGATCAGATTTGATAAAGCCCACTGTGTAGGCAAAAATGTTGCCTAAATATAATTTCTAATGGCTACTTGTCTCTATCAGCTACACTATATTAAACAATAATGTCAAGTCAAAGTTAAATTTTATTTCCAAGAATTAGCGTCGATTTACCTCAGGGATGACATCTCTTCATACATTCTTAGGAAAGTCCTTTGTTATGCCAAACATTTTGGGCAAACTACAATTAGCACTACACTTAAAAACAATGCAGGTATTAAGATAATTATAATAACATGTAATTTTAGTTTTGTGTGACAATTCAGTATGAATAATTTTTGAGTAAGCTAGTAGTATGACACAATTAACACACAAATAACCCGCACATAGGAGAGAGGAACTTATGATGACATTTCGGTCCGACTTGTGATCAAATAAGTGACTATTTACAAAGTTATAAGCTCCTCTCTCCTATGTGTGGGTTATTTGTGTATTGTTCTAGTCACAGTATTGTGCCTTTTTGTTATTCAAGACACAATATACCAACAGTAAACTTTGATGATCATTACAATTTAAATTATTGCATCATACTCAAGAAGTGTTTTTCAACAATTTGGAACAAATTGTCCAAAAATATGTTGTTCCAAATTTTGGGTTCTTTCATCTGCATGGAATTTATACTCATGCTGAGCCATACACGTGGAATATCAGAATTTATTTATCTCTAGTATTTTTTTTTTTTTCCAACAAGTTGGCCTTCTCCCACCGAGGAAGGGTGACCCAAAAAGAAAGAAAACCCCCAAAAAAGAAAATACTTTCATCATCATTTAACACTTTCATCTCACTCACACATAATCACTGTTTTTGCAGAGGTGCCCAGAATACAACAGTTTAAAAGTACAGTGGACCCCCGCCTTACAATATTATTTCATTCCAGAGGTCTGTTCGGGTGCCGTTATAGACCGAATTTGTTCCCATAAGGAATATTGTGAATTAGATTAGTCCGTTTCAGATCCCCAAAAATACACGTACAAAAGCACTTACAAAAACACACTTACATAATTGGTCGCGTTGGGAGCTGATCGTAAGGCGGGGGTCCACTGTATATACGTACGTATAAAAATACACAATATATCCCTCCAAACTGCCAATATCTCAAACTCCTCCTTTAGAGTGCAGGCATCGTACTTCCCATTTCCAGGACTCAAGTCCAGTTATATAAAATAACCAGTTTCCCTGAATCCCTTCACTAAATATTACCCTGCTCACACTCCAACAGATCGTCAGGTCCCAAATACCATTTGTCTCCATTCACTCCTATCTAACACGCTCACAAATGCTTGCTGGAAGTCCAAACCCCTCGCCCGCAAAATCTCCTTTACCCCCCTCCCTCCAACCTTTTCAAGGACGACCCCTACCCCACCTTCCTACCCCTACAGATTTATATGCTCTCCATGTCATTCTACTTTGATCCATTCTCTCTAAATGACCAAACCACCTCAACAAACCCTCTTCAGCACTCTGACTAATACTTTTATTAACTCCACACCTTCTCCTAATTTCCACACTCCGAATTTTCTGCATAATATCTACACCACACATTACCCTTAGACAGGACATCTGCACTGCCTCCAACTGCCTCCTTGCTGCAGCATTTACAACCCAAGCTTCACACCCATATAAGAGTGTTGGTATTACTATACTTTCATACATTCCCTTCTTTACCTCCATAGATAACATTTTTTGCCTCTACATATACCTCAATGCACCACTCACCTTTTTTCTTTCATCAATTCTATGATTAACCTCATCCTTCATAAAATCCATCCGCTGACAAGTCAACTCCCAAATATCTGAATACATTCACTTCTTCCATACTCCTCCTCCCCAATTTGATATCCAATTTTTCTTTATCTAAATCATTTGATACTCTCATCACCTTACTCTTTTCTATGTTCGCTTTCAACTTTCTACCTTTACACACACTCCCAAATTCGCCCACTAACTTTGGCAATTTTTCTTTAGAATCTCCCATAAGCACAGTATCATCAGCAAAAAGTAACTGTGTCACTTTCCATTTTGTATTTAATTCCCCATAATTTAATCCCGCCCCTCACCCGAACACCCTAGCATTTACTTCTTATACAACCCCATCTAAAAATATATTAAACAACCATGGTGACATTACACATCCCTGTCTAAGACCTACTTTTACCGGGAAATAGTCTCCCTCTCTTCTACACACCCTAACCTGAGCCTCACTATCCTCATAAAAACTCTTTACAGCATTTAGTAACTTACCACCTATTCTATATACTTGCAACATCTGCCACATTGCTTCCCTATCCACTCATCATATGCCTTTTCTAAATCCATAAATGCAATAAAAACTTCCCTACCTTTATCTAAATACTGCTCACATATATGCTTCAACGTAAACACTTGATCTATACATCCCCTACCCACTCTAAAACCTCCTTGCTCATCCGCAATTCTACATTCTGTCTTACCTCTAATTCTTTCAATAATAACCCTACCGTGCACTTTTCCTGGTACACTCAGTAAACTTATTCCTCTATAATTTTTACAATATCTTTTGTCCCCTTTCCCTTTATATAAAGGGACTATACACACTCTCTGCCAATCCCTAGGTACCTTCCCCTCTTTCATACATTTATTAAACAAAAATACCAACCATTCCAACACTATGTCCCCCCCTGCTTTTAACATTTCTGTCATGATCCCGTCAGTTCCAGATGCTTTACCCCCCTTTCATTCTACGTAATGCCTCATGTGCCTCCCCCACACTCACATCCTGCTCTTCTTCACTCCTAGAAGATGGTATACCTCCCTGGCCAGTGCATGAAATTACCACCTCCCTTTCTTCGACATTTAAAAGTTCCTCAAAATATTCTCGCCATCTACCCAAAACCTCCATCTCCCCATCTACTAATTCCCCTACTCTGTTTTTAACTGACAAATCCATACTTTCCCTAGGCTGTCTTAACTTGTTTAACTCACTCCAAATTTTTTTCTTATTTTCATTAAAATTTCTTGACAGTACCTCTCCAGTAATTGTTTTAACACATGGTTAATATTTGCACAGTGTCCTGTACATGTAATAAGCCCACGTGTATATGTGTATGCCCAGTATGTTAGTAGGTTCAAAGGGGGCCTGCCTGTACTCATACCAATGTGCCACCTCTTTACATGCAGCATTTTTTTATAAATAAAATTTTTATTTGATTTTTTAATTCTCTTATGTCCTGCTGTCAAAGCAGTAATGTATAAAAGAAGTAAAAGGCAAGTTACTTTGGACGAGTTGGGATAGTCAACCACAAGACCACCAGTAAATCCTGCACGCATAGCCTGTGACACTATCAGCTCCACTTGCGAGTCGTTCTCAGGGTAGAATTGAAATACAACACGACTTCCTCGAGCCTGTAAGAGAGAAAAAGTAAGCATATGAGAGGTTTTTAAAAAGTAGAAGTGATGCAAGGAGGGAGGAGTGTATGGAGAGAAAAAGAGAGGTTAAGAGAGTGGTGAAGCAATGTAAAAAGAGAGCAAATGAAAGAGTGGGTGAGATATTATCTACAAATTTTGTTGAAAATAAGAAAAAGTTATGGAGTGAGATTAAAAATTTGAGAAAGCCTAGGGAACAAATGGATTTGGTAGTCAAAAATAGGAGAGGAGAGTTATGAAACGGCGAGTTAGAGGTATTGGGAAGATGGAGGAATTGTTAAATGCTGATGAAGATAGGGAAGCTGTGCTTTTGTGTATAGGGCAAGGAGGAATAACATCTTATAGGAGTAAAGAAGAACCAGTTGTGACTGTGGGCGAAGTGCATGGGGCAGTGGGTAGAATGAAAGGGGGTAAAACAGCTGTGATTGATGGGATAAAGACAAATGTTAAAAGCAGGTGGGGATATAGTTTTGGAGTAGTTAGTGCTCTTATTTAATAAATATATGGAAGAGGGTAAGGTACCTAGGGATTGGCAGAGAGCATGCATAGTTCCTTTGTATAAAGGCAAAGGGAACAAAACAGACAGTAAAAATTATAGGGGAATAAGTCTGTTGAGTATGCCGGGAGCAAGGGGCTAGTAACCCCTTTCCCTGTATAAATTACTAAATTTAAGAAGAGAAACTTTTGTTTTTCTTTTTGAGCCACCCTGCCTTGGTGGGATATGGCTGGTTGGTGAAAAAAAAGAAAAAAAAAAGTCTGTTGAGTGTAGGTAGTAGGTTGGTAGACAGCAACCACCCAGGGAGGTACTACCATCCTGCCAAGTGAGTGTAAAACAGAATCCTGTAATTGTTTTACATGATGGTAGGATTGCTGGTGTCTTTTTTCTGTCTCATAAACATGCAAGATTTCAGGTACGTCTTGCTACTTCTACTTACACTTAGGTCACACTACACATACATGTACAAGCATATATATATATACACCCCTCTGGGTTTTCTTCTAGCTCTTGTTCTTGTTTATTTCCTCTTATCTCCATGGGGAAGTGGAACAGAATTCTTCCTCCGTAAGCCATGCATGTTGTAAGAGGCGACTAAAATGCCAGGAGCAAGGGGCTAGTAACCCCTTCTCCTGTATAAATTACTAAATTTAAAAAGAGAAGCTTTTGTTTTTCTTTCTGGGCCACCCTGCCTCGGTGGGATACGGCCGGTTTGTTGAAAAAAAAAAAAGTCTGTTGAGTATACCTGGTAAAGTGTATGGTAGAGTTATTATTGAAAGAATTAAGAGTAAGATGGAGAGCAGGATAGCAGATGAACAAGGAGGCTTTACGAAGGGTAGGGAATGTGTAGACCAAGTGTTTACAGTGAAACATATAGGTGAACAGTATTTAGATAAGAGTCAAGAGGTTTTTGTGGCATTTATGGATTTGGATAAGGCTTATGATAGGGTGGATAGGGGGGCAATGTGGCAGATGTTGCAAATGTATGGAATAGGAGGTAGGTTACTGAAAGCAGTGAAGAATCTTTACGAGGATAGTGGGGCTCAGGTTAGAGTATGCAGGCAAGAGGGAAATTATTTCCCAGTAAAAGTAGGCCTTAGATGTGTGATGTCACCATGGCTGTTCAATATATTTATAGATGGAGCTGTAAGAGAAGTGAATGCTCAGGTGTTGGCAAGAGGTGTGGGGTTAAAAGATGAAGAATCTAACACAAAGTGGGAGTTGTTACAGTTGCTCTTTGCTGATGACACTATGCTTTTGGGAGATTCTGAAGAGAAGCTGCAGAGGTTGATTGATGAATTTGGTTGGGTATGTAAAAGAAGGAAATTAAAAGTGAATATAGGAAAGAGTAAGGTGATGAGGATAAAAAAAAATGGAAGATTGGATATCAGATTGGAGGGAGAGAGTATGGAGGAGGTGAATGTATTCAGATATCTGGGAGTGGATGTGTCAGCAGATGTGTCTATGAAAGATGTGGTGCACTGAGGAGTCTGTGGAGACAAAGAACTTTATCCATGAAAGCAAAGAGGGGAATGTATGAGAGTATAGTTACATCAACGCTCTTGTATGGGTGTTAGGCATGGGTGGTGAATGTTGCAACAAGAAGGCTGGAGGCAGTGGAGATGTCATGTCTGAGGGCAATGTGTGGTGTGAATATAATGCAAAGAATTCGTAGTTTGGAGATTAAGAGGAAGTGTGGGGTTACCAAAACTATTATCCGGAGGGGTTATTTAGATGGTTTGGACATATAGAGAAAATGGAACGAAATAGAATGACTTCAAGAGTGTATAAATCTGTAGTGGAGAGAAGACGGGGTATGCGTCAGCCTAGGAAAGGTTGGAGGGAGGGGGTAAAGGAGGTTTTGTGTGAGGGGCTTGGACTTCCAGCGAGCATGTATGAGCGTGTTAGATAGGAGCAAATGGAGACAAATGTTTTTTAGGACTTGACGTGCTGTTGGAGCATAAGCAAGGTAACATTTAAGAAGGTATTCAGGGAAACTGACAGGCCGGACTTGATTCCAGGAGATGTGAAGTACAGTGTCTGCACTCTGAAGGAGGGATGTTGCAGTTTTATAACTGTAGTGTAAGCATGCCTCTGGCAAGACAGTGATGAAGTGAATGATGATGAAAGTTTTTCTTTTTCTGGTCACCATGCCTTGGTGGGAAACGGCCAATGTGTTAATAATAAAAAAAATATATATTTCATAAAATAATATAAATTTCAAGGATACTAGTTGTTTTATCAATTAACGGGTAGAATAGCGACTGTTCTGTCACTTAATAACAGAACACTCACTATTCTATAAAATAATAAGTAGAATACTAACTGTTCTATCATTAAAAATATACTGATTCTATAAAGAAGCACCGTAAGATACTGATCATTCTATCATTCAAGAATACTGACTTACATAAATCAAGAAATAGAATACTGATTATTCTACAAATTAAGAACAAGAATATTAACTGTTCTATAAATTAAGAACAAGAATATTAACTGTTCTATAAATTAAGAACAAGAATATTAACTGTTCTATAAATTAAGAACAAGAATATTAACTCTTCTATAAATTAAGAACAAGAATATTAACTGTTCTATAAATTAAGAACAAGAATAGTGACTTTATAAATTAAGAAACAGAATGTTAACTGTTCTATCAATTAAGAAATAACAATATAATTTTTTTTTTTACCTAAGAAGCCAAAGTTTCAGAATATATTCCAAGCAAACAAGGCTCACAGTTTTTTTTATTATTACATTGATGGTGGAGTGCTAAATCTGTAGGGGTCATACAGTGCCTGAGCAGAATGCGAGGAAATGAGATTTGAACCAAGGAAAGGGAAATCAGGTCTAATTCTCTGGAATAAGGACTCCTCCTCAGCACAGGTTTTGAATGCTGTAGTGAGGAAGCAGCTGGAGGAAGTAGAGATGTCGTGTTTGAGGGCAAAGTATGTGGTGTGAATATTATAAAGGGAATTCAGAGTTTGGATATTAGGAAAGTGGGTTTCAAAGTGGGCAAAAATCATAGTTGCATACAGTGCTCCCAATTTCGTGCCTGTGTAATTCCACAAGTTTTAAATAAAATTTTGTATTTATGGTGTCATTACCTTTAGTAAAATATTATCTACCATTTTAGAAGATATTTTTTAAAGGGCTTTTAATTTCAGGGGTCATGGCAGTGAAAAGGTTAAACATATTCATACATTTCCCTTGACTTCCCTTGCAAACTATATACAGTCCAGTATAATATACAAATAGGGACAGTGCTATCATTTAGCAGCATTTTCTTTACTATGGAGGCATAAAGCAGTTCAAGAAAATACATAGAACGCATGTGCAATGCAGTACAGGTACAACATTGATTTTCTGGACACTGATGGTCTGTAAACTTTTAAAATCCATACAAATTTATGAGCAGGAACTTGAAATTCCTGCGGCAGTGTATTTACCACCCAACTGTACATCACCTATCCAACCCCAAGACAAAGGAATACTGCACTCTCTAAAAGTGGAAATCTCAGTAATCTGGAAAGGCTTTGGAACCAAAAGGTCTGGAAAATCGATGTTGTACCTGTATTTAGATTTAAAGCATGGTAGCAGCTATCTATGAATGCACCTATCTATGAATGTAGATGAATGCACCTATCTATGAATGTAGTTTACCAAGAGCCTGTGTGGTCAGGGACCAAGCAGCAATTAGAAAACAGTAACTATAGCTTCCAGCATACCTTGACCTGACTGACCCACACAAGTTTAGTGTTTCTTATAATACAATACAATATGTACATCTATCAGTATACTACCACAAATCTTACCATGCTTGCAAATAAAGACATGAAGAGCTTGTATAATCTCTTGGCTGGTTTGTGGCTGGCTGAGTTTGCATAGCACAACCACTGGATAGCTGAAATGCTAATGGCTCCATCAAACATACCAGCACGGAAGGGAACCCCTTGACCTATATCTGCAAGCAACATATCTCCTTCTACTTCTCTTTCCAGTGCAGTGTCTGTGGGTAAAATATGTAGCTATGTCCATATTTAATGCATTTTGAGTTTAAGGATCTTAATATGATGAGTACAGTAAATCCTCTCAAAACACACAGATTACATTCCTGAAAATCGGCATGGAACAAGGTGCAGTACAGTACAGTGCAAAGTGAAGAACATATAAGAAAAATACAGTTGCATTCCAGACACCATGAAATTTCTTTAATTTTTTTTAACACACCCGACATCTCCCACCGAGGCAGGGTGACCCAAAAAAAGAAGAAACACTTGATCCCAACATTTTAGATGCCTCTTATGACATGAATGGCTTATGGATGAAGGGTTCTTCTCCACTTTCTCATGGACATTTACTAATGTAAAAATTACTACATTACAAGTTACCTCACATTCTCTCAGTTGTTACTTAAAGTACTGTATTTGGAAATTGTGGGAAGAGTTAACCTTTAAACTGTCCAAACATAGATCTACATTCACATGCATAGTGCTCCAAAAGTAGATCTACATTTTTTTTTACATATTTTCAAATATAACAAAAAAAAAGTAGATCAAAGCTTTTTACACGCTTTCAAATGTAAAAAAAAATCTACGTTTTTTTATGTACTTTCAAGTGTTGAAAACACATAGATCTACGTTTGGACAGTTTAAGGGTTAATGAGGGCCTGCTGAGAAAAGTTGGATTAGCTACTGTATCACAAAACACTAACTACTTTTACAATTCTTAAAATTCTCAGAGTATCCAACTTTTCAAGACACTGTAAACACATCTGATAATCAGTGTTGAGAAACAATAATAAATAATAGGAGGCAGCATCAGCCGAGTTCTACATGTGAGCATCGTCATAATAAAAGCATCATTTCCTTACCAAACAGGAACTCACCATGACTATACCACAGAAACATGTTCAAGATGAATGCACTAGAAACAGTAAAGATCAAATTTCAACACCATAAAAGGGCAAGGATTAATTTTTTTAAGGTTTTTGTTTCCTAGTTATATTCAGGCTTTGATGCTTGGCAATTCTAAAAGAATGAATAATTGTTTAATTTGTTTAAAGTGACTAAATCAGTTTAAGTGTTAAAAACACTAGAACTTACCTAACATTGCTGGAGATATGTCCATGCCAACCCACATGTGTCCATGCTCTGTTATAGCTTCACCAGAGAGTCCAGAGCCACAGCCAAGGTCCAGCAGTAGGGCAGGAGTGTCATCTGGGAGTGCCAGCAATTCCAGAGCTCGTTCTGTGCATTTTTCTTGTACTTCAATTATCCGAGAACTGTTGAAATAAAAGGCTCTTCAGTAATAATTAATTATAATTTTTAAAATTTATTTGCAGTACAGCTTCTGAGGAACTGTGTAATCTGACTAATTGGAACATACAGTGCTCATTAAAGTACACTGGCCCCCTCTAATGCCACGACCATACACCAGGTCGCCTCTTGCACTTCAGGAGATCCTTCAACCATCTAGGAAGTGATTAACACATATTCTTCAAGGTTTCATGGGGTAAATTCTCCCACGACTCACGGTGTCCTAAAGTTGTGGGAGCGGGCTGACATCCTTCCCCTAGTAGATCTCTCTCTACCACTGCCCTGAGGTTCTAAATGGAGTTCAAGTCAGAAGATTTTGTTCATATCATTATCTTAGAGGGTTGACAACCCAGAATAACCCAATAAAGCCGTGGCATCAGACTGACTTATTTACATAATGGTTTTTTAATCCACTCCAGGATGTGACCTACACCAGTTGGCTAACAACCTGGTACAGTACCTCCTCTCTGCTAGGTGAACAGGGATATCATATCAAGGAAACATGCCCAAAGTTTCCACTTGTACAGGAATCAAATCCTAGTTCCTCATTATTTGAAATGAGGCCACTACCAATTGATTCACAAACAATGAGATCCAGTTCAAATCCCTTCAAAGTTATATGAACGACTTGCAAAATAGCAGTAAATCATTACTTTGGAAATTTCAGGACTGTCTCACAAAAGGTTGAGGGCTATAATTTATGACAACTATGCAGCAGAACTTGTGCAAATTGTTAATCTGAGAGATTTTTATTTTTTTTTATTAGCACACTGGCTGATTCCCACCAAGGCAGGGTGGCCCGAAAAAGAAAAACTTTCACCATCATTCACTCCATCACTCTCTTGCCAGAAGGGTGCTTTACAGTACAGTTTTTAAACTGTAACATTAACACCCCTCCTTCAGAGTGCAGACACTGTACTTCCCATCTCCAGGACTCAAGTCCGGCCTGCCGGTTTCCCTGAATCCCTTCATAAATGTTACTTTGCTCACACTCCAACAGCACGTCAAGTATTAAAAACCATTTGTCTCCATTCACTCCTATCAAACACGCTCACGCATGCCCGCTGGAAGTCCAAGCCCCTCGCACACAAAACCTCCTTTACCCCCTCCCTCCAACCTTTCCTAGGCCGACCCCTACCCCACCTTCCTTCCACTACAGACTGATACACTCTTGAAGTCATTCTGTTTCGCTCCATTCTCTCTACATGTCCGAACCACCTCAACAATCCTTCCTCAGCCCACTGGACAACAGTTTTGGTAATCCCGCACCTCCTCCTAACTTCCAAACTACGAATTCTCTGCATTATATTCACACCACGCATTGCCCTCAGACATGACATCTCCACTGCCTCCAGCCTTCTCCTCGCTGCAACTTTCATCACCCATGCTTCACACCCATATAAGAGTGTTGGTAAAACTATACTCTCATACATTCTCCTCTTTGCCTCCAAGGACAAAGTTCTGTGTCTCCACAGACTCCTAAGTGCACCGCTCACCCTTTTCCCCTCATCAATTCTATGATTCACCTCATCTTTCATAGATCCATCCGCTGACACGTCCACTCCCAAATATCTGAATACATTCACCTCCTCCATACTCTCTCCCTCCAATCTGATATCCAATCTTTCATCACCTAATCTTTTTGTTATCCTCTGATAATATCTGATAATATGCTAATATCTCTGAAAGATATTAGCATAAAAAATACATCTGTTGCATGTCTGAGCCAACTAATGATTAGCATTAAGTCGTGTCATGCACCCGGTCAAATATACTTAGAGGGTAAATGTACCAGTACCAACAGAGCAGAGTAAGGTTAAGATATTTTTGGTTGTATTAGGCGAGTTTCACTAGAGTAGGTTATTCATTTTTATTAATTTGCACAATAAAACCCAATTTAATATTATATAACTCAAACTATAATTAACTGCAAAAATCAGCCAAGGAACAGTCACTTATTACCCAGGCTGGGCCTTACTCCATTCCTAAGTTGATAACAATTGTATTAATAACATGAATATTAACTACAGTGACTAATTTAGACATTACTACCTGTAATAATGTTGGTAGAATTACCAACAATATGTAAAGTAAAAGGACACAAGTGCAACTAATGTGACATTTTATTGTGGCAACGTTTCTCTCTCCAGGAGCTTTGTCAAGCCGTTACGGCTTGACAAAGCTCCTGGAGAGCGAAACGTTGCCACAATAAAATGTCACATTAGTTGCAGTTGTGTCCTTTTATTTTACACATTACTATCTCATGTAAAATTTTGACCATGGGAAATGATACTTACTTCTGAGTGTATTTGCGAGCTTCATCGACTCCATAATACTGCAAGGCAAATAAGAAAAAATTAGTGATGTACTTAACCCATCACACTTTCTACACCGTCATATATAACAGTTAAAAGAAAACTCTGTGATGTCTGGGTTAGCTAGAGCAATACAATTAGTCATGATAAATTAGACACATGTACAACACTTGGGTATCTTTTTGGAAATGTTTAAAAACACAGTGGCTTCCTCAGTCCAATACAGAGAAGAATGTTTGAAGATGGGTTTGAGGTGATCAGTCCCTCAGTCTGGAGTCGATGTAATCTGTCCACTGTGTTGCGCATGTGTCTGATTTATCAACTTGTCGGTTCTGTGAACCACTTATATATAATTAGTCTTATGGTGTGTACGAGGAAGTTGTTATTATTATTATTATAATCAAGGGGGAAGCGCTAAACCCGGAGGATTATACAGCGCCTGGGGGGGATGTGGAAGGCATTCAGGCTTAATTCGGGGAACTGGAGCACAGATCCAATTCCCTAAATCAAGAGCCCCTCACCAACATCAAGGAACCTTCCTTGAGGGGGTGTACGAGGAAGGCAAGGTAAGATTCGTCAGGAAACTGGACAAGTTTCCTGACGTGGACCATATTATTATTATAATCAAGGGGGAAGCGCTAAACCCGGAGGATTATACAGCGCCTGGGGGGGGTGTGGAAGGCATTCAGGCTTAATTTGGGGAACTGGAGCACAGATCCAATTCCCTAAATCAAGAGCCCCTCACCAACATCAAGGAACCTTTCTTGAGGGGACGTGGACCATAAAGACCCAAGTCATCTGACTGAGACCTTCCACTGGCTTACCCTTCCACCCCTTTAAAAATGAATATTATTTCATGTGAGGAAGGATATATTACCACTTGTGGTGGTGCTTGCAGTTCTGGCCGCCGAGAAGACATCTTTCTTCACATGCGGTCACTATAACAGAAAAGTTGTTGTTGGGGTTATTAAGGGACACCAAAGCGTAAACCTTATTGACTCCGGCCTCACGGTTAGGTTTAGCGCTTCTTTTTATTTTAATAGTAATAATGATGTCTGGTTAGGTTTAGCTTTTCTTTTTTATTATTATGAAAATAATAATCCTGCCTCCCGGGAGTGGGAGAAAAATGTGTTGCCCTAATATGGGTGGGAATTAAAAAGGAAATAAGGTTTTGTCCGAAAAAAGAATCGGGAACATGAATTTCCCAGGTTAGATCAGTTGAATTCCAGGCCTAAACACTGGCAAGTTCACCACAGTGTCCCGTGACCTGGTACGCAGTACTCTCGCCTAACACAATTTCTTTCGTCTTTATTTCTACAATACGTGTACTACGTATACAGACCATATCTGACATCAGTGACATACTATATAGCGAGCCTCTAGTTACGTAGAGCATTTTGGGCAAATCAGGTTAATTTTGTCCCCAGGATGTGACCCTCACCTGTCGACTAACACTCAGGTACCTACTTACTGTTAGGTGAACATGGAGAGCAGGTATGTAAAGGAAATATGTCCCAATGTTTTCAGCCATACCGGGGATCGAACCATGAACCTCATTGTGTGAGCTGAGTGCGCAACTAACCGAGCTACGGGAAAAGAAATAGGAATATGAATTTATCAAGTTAGAGCAAGTGGATTCCAGGTCTAAACATTAGCATATTCAGGCATCCCACTGTATACCGTGGCCTGGCAGGCAACTCTCTCACCTCACACATTGAGCGTCCTTGGTTCAATCCCCGGCCGGGATCTGTCAAGTTAATCATATTTATGGAGACAGCAACAAAGTCAGTAGAGTGCAAAATTCTGTTACTGCTAGACTAAGGTTAAGCTACAAGTATTTCTGGCAGTACGGTTTGTATAGATGTGTCCATGAGATATCTATACACAGCTGGGAGTAGTTCCCTTGAACGAATCTACCTGGACTTTCTACTCATTTTTGCAACATTGCAAGTTTCTGAAGATGTGCTGATTGCAACACGAAAGGCCTAGAGCCCCGTGGCCTGGTGGCTAAAGCTCTCGCTTCACATGGTGAGTGTCCGGGTTCGATTCCCGGCGAGGGTAGAAACATTGGGAATGTTTTCTTACACCGGTTGTCTATATTCTTCATCAGTGAAATAGGTACCTGGGTGTTTGTTGACAACTGCATCCTGGGACAAAACAAAACTGACCTAATTTGCCCGAAATGCTCAGCATAACAAGCGGCTTTCTATATAGTAGTATATCATTGATGTTGGCTATGGTCTGTATACCTTGTACATGTACTTGTAGAAATAAAGATATTATTATTATTATTAACTCGCTTCTTGGTTGTTTTGCAGCTAGGTAATAGTGTTTCCGTGATTAGGACCATGGGGGATACGGTTTAGTACCCTTAGTGGCCCTATAAACCCCAACAACAACCCTGGGAGTGACGGTATAGTGCCCTTAATGGCCCTATAAACCCCCAATAACAACAACAACCCTGAGAGTGACAGTTTAGTGCTTTCAGTGGCCCTATAAACCCCAACAAGGAGAAGAAGAAGACATTTAAGTGACCCTTAATAATATACACTGCTCGATCTTATCTACAACAAACTCGCCGTTTTGATCAATGATAATGAAATCTGTAAGTTTTGTGAGGTTTTTTCTTTTAATACATGGGTCGTCTCTCCCACCAATAAAGGCTGACCTGAAAAAAAGCCTCAGTAATTCATACTTTTTACTTGTGAAATCTTGGGACCACATCTTTGCCATATTAATACCAAAGATCCTTCGGGAAAGTGTATGCCTCTATTCTGACTTATTAAGGCTCCCGTATTCTGCTTGTTTTGTTACTGCTTACAGGGTGAACATAGGGTTACTCTCCTCTTCCTTGGATCAAACCTGATTACCTCCCATTCTGCAGGTGTTTTATGATCCCCTCTGGCTTTACCACTTCCCCATGACTTTAATGTGCTACTGCTGAATAATTAATGAGATAGCAAAGATAGGTTGGATTGGGAGTTTTTTGGGGGAATCAGATTTCTTTTTTAATTTAGTAATTTACATTAAGCGCTGAACCCATGTGGGTCATTCAGCACAAGACGTAGTGGAGGCTTGATCCTCTTGTCTTCTGAGTGTGAGACAGATGCTCTTCCTATTTGTACTCGCCTAGATTTTTTGGAATCAGAGAAATCAGTAATCCGAAAGGCCCAAGATCCCAGGCATTTGAGTTTAAAGAGTTCAGCTCTACCATTACATGGTGGGTTTATATACTTTAATATACACGAGTGAAACAACCGAATTATTGAAATTTAGGGTTCCTTGATCATTTCAAAGACAATCAATGGCACCTTATTAGGTATATAATTAGTCTAAATTAATCATTTATGAAAGTGATGGAGGCCGCCTGAGTCACTGTTATTAACACCATCCTATGGAAGGTTAACAGTTACAGCACACCCAAACTCTGGACAAACAGGATGATGTCCAATTTGGATACTGCTGTCGTGGTGTATCCACCTACAGCTCGCAACTCTACTACCTTCTTGCTTCATGTCTCCTGCCACTTTATGTTTCCTTCTTAGATTTTTTTGTATTAGCACCAAAGACGCTTCTCATGGCAAAACATTTTCTCTAATAAATAACCTGAACTGGAGATTAGTGTCATTGTCCACATCTTTCTGCCATTGCCATTCCTTTTACAGCTTAAATTTAGTCTTCACGTTTTGAATTGAATCTCTACTATGGAGTTTCTGCATTTTGATTTTTGTATTTCATACATATACAATGGCATATAATAATAATAATAATAATAATAATAATAATAATAATAATAATAATAATAATAATAATAATAATACTGTAATAATAATACTTGTATGTAGGTAGGTAGTAGGTTGGTAGACAGCAACCACCCAGGGAAGTACTACCGTCCTGCCAGATGACTGTGAAACAAAAACCTGTAACTGTTTTGCATGATGGTAGGATTGCTGGTTTCTTTTTCTGTCTCATAAACACGCTAAGATACAGGGATATCTTGCTACTCCTACTTACACTTGGTCACACTTCACAGACACGCACATGCATATATATATATACATACATCTAGGTTTTTCTCCTTTTTCTAAATAGTCTTGTTCTTTTTTTTTTTCTATGTCCATGGGGAAGTGGAAAAGAATCTTTCCTCCGTAACCCATGCGTGTCGTATGAGGCGACAAAAAAAATCCCGGGAGAAATGGGCTAGTAACCCTTCCCCTGTATACAATTACTAAAAAGAGAAGAAGAAAAACTTTATAAAACTGGGTTGCTTAAATGTGCGTGGATGTAGTGCGGATGACAAAAAAAACAGATGATTGTTGATGTTATGAATGAAAAGAAGTTGGATGTCCTGGCCCTAAGCGAAACAAAGCTGAAGGGGGGTAGGAGAGTTTCAGTGGGGGGAAAAATAATGGGATTAAATCTGGAGTATCTGAGAGGTTAGAGCAAAGGAAGGGGTAGCAGTAATGTTAAATGATCAGTTATGGAAGGAGAAAAGGAATATGAATGTGTAAATTCAAGAATTATGTGGATTAAAGTAAAGGTGGATGCGAGAAGTGGGTCATAAAAAGGGTTTTGTATGCACCTGGAGAAGAGAGGAATGCAGAGGAGAGAGAGAGATTTTGGGAGTAGTGTTGTAAATTGTATAGGAGCCTTTGAACCAAGGAGAGAGTAATTGGGGTAGGGGACTTGAATGCTAAAGTAGGAGAAATTTTTAGAGAGGGTTGTGGTAGGTAAGTTTGGGGTGCCAGGTGTAAATGATAATGGGAGCCCTTTGATTGAACTTTGTATAGAAAGGGGTTTTTAGTTATAGGTAATACATATTTTAAGAAAAAGGGATAAATAAGTATACACGATATGATGTAGGGCGAAATGACAGTAGTTTGTTGGATTATGTATTGGTAGATAAAAGGACTGTTGAGTGGGACTTCAGGTGTACATGTTTATAGAGGGGCCACAGATATATCAGATCACTTTCTAGTTGTAGCTACACTGAGAGGTAAAAGGTAGATGGGATACAAGGAAAAATAGAAGATCAGGGAAGAGAGAGGTAAAGGTTTATAAACTAAAAGAGGAGGCAGTTAGGGTAAGATATAAACAGCTATTGGAGGATAGATGGGTAATGAGAGCATAGGCAATGGGGCGAAGAGGTAGGGGGTTAGGTTTAAAAATGTAGTGTTAGAGTGTTCAGCGGGAAGTTGTGGTTACAGGAAGTGGGTGCAGGAGGGAAGAGGAGCGATTTGGGGAATGATGATGTAAAGAGAGTAGTAAAGGGGGAAAAGTTAGCATATGAGAAGTTTTTACAAAGTAGAAGTGATGCAAGGGAGGAAGAGTATATGGAGAAAAAGAGAGAAGTTAAGAGGTGGTTGAAAACAAAAGTAAAAGAGAGGGAATGAGAGAATGGGGTGAGATGTTATCAACAAAAATTTTTTGAAAATAAGAAAAAGTTTTGGGTGAGATTAACAAGTTAAGAAAGCCTTAGGGGACAAATGGTTTGTCAGTTAAAATAGGAGAGGAGAGTTATTAAGGGGGGAGTTAGAGGTATTGGGAAGATGGAGGAATTTTTGAGGAATTGTTAAAAATTGATGGGAAAATGGGAAGCTGGATTTCGGGGTATAGGGAAGGAGGGAATAACATTTGTAGGAGTGAGGAAGACCCGTTGTGAGTGTGGGGGAAGTTGTGAGGGCCAGTAAGGTAAATGAAGGGGGGTAAGGCAGCCGGGATTGATGGGATAAGATGAATGTTAAAGCAGGTGGGGATATGTTTGGAGGTGGTTGGTTTCAATTATTTAATAAAAGTATGGAAGAGGGTAAGGGTACCTAGGGATTGGCAGAGGAGCATAGTTCCTTTGTATAAGGCAAAGGGGATAAAAGAGAGGCAAAAATTATAGGGGGATAAGTTGTTGAGTGTACCTGGTAAGGTATGGTGGTTATAATTGAAAGAATTAAGAGTAAGACGGAGTAGGAGCAGTGAAAGGAGGCTTTAGGAAGGTAGGGGGTGTGGGACCAGGTGTTTACAGTGAAAATATAAGTGAACAGTATTTGGATAAGGTAAAGAGGTCTTTGTGGATTTATGGTTGGAAAAGGCGTATGCAGGGGGATAGGGGGGGCAATGTGGCAGTGTTGCAAGTGTATGGTGTAGGAGGTAGGTTACTGAAAGCAGTGAAGAGTTTTTACGAGGATAGTGAGGTCAAGTTAGAGTATGTAGGGAAAGGGGGAAAATTTTTTTCCCAGAAAAAGTAGGCCTTAGAAAGGGAGTGGATGTCCCCCGGGTTGTTTAATATTTTATAGAGGGGGTTGAAAGAGAAAAAAGCGGGGGTTTTGCAAGGGGGGGTTGATTTAAAAAGATAAAGAATCACACACAAAGTGGGATTTTGTCACGCTGCTCTTTGCTGATGACACTGGCTCTTGGGGATTCTGAAGAGAAGTTTGCAGAGATTGGTGGATAAAATTTGGGGGGTGTGCAAAAGAAAAAAATTTAAAAGGGTGAAACGGGAAAGAGAAAGGTTTGAGGATAAAAAAAGATTAGGGATGAAAGATTGAAAAATCAGTTGGAGGGAGGGTATGGAGGGGTAAACGTTTTCAATTTTGGAGTGGCGGTCAGCGGATGGGTTATGAAAGATAGGTGAATCTGTTTTTGATGGGGAAAAAAGTGGGTGTGCACTTGGAGTTGTGGAGACAAAGAACTTTGTCCCCTTGGAGGGAAAAAGGGGGAAAGTAGAGAGTATATTTTACCAACGTCTTTTTATGGGTGTGAAACGGGGTGATAATGTTGGCGGGGAGAAGGCTGGGGGCAGTGGAGAAGTCATGTTGAGGGGAATTGTGGTGTGAAATTTAAAGCAGAGGATTCTAGTTTGGAAGTGGAGGAGGCGGGGTTACCAAAACTGTTGTCGAGGGGAGGAAAGGGGTTTTTTAGGTGGTTCGGAAAAGTAGAGAGAATGGAGCGAAACAGAATGACTTCAAGAGTGTATCACTGTGTGGAAGGAAGGGGGGTAGGGGGTCGGCCTGGGAAGGGTTGGAGGGGGGGGGAAAAGGGAGGTTTTTTTGGCGGGGGTTGGATTCCAGCAGGCTGGTGAGCGTGTTTGATGGGATGAATGGGACAAATGGTTTTTAATACTTGAGGCTGTTGGAGTGGACCCCAAGAAACATTTATGAAGGGGATTCGGGGAAAACCCGGCAGGCCGGACTTGAGCCCTGGAGTGGGAAGTACAGTGCCTGCATCTGAAGGAGGGTGTTAAATTTTGAGTTTAAAAACGTAGTGTAAAGCCCCCCTTTGGAAAGCAGTGAGGGAGTGAATAGGGTGAAATTTTCTTTTTCGGGCCCCCCTCCCTTGGGGGAATCGGCCGTGTGATAAAAAAAAATAAAAAATATGAAAAGTAAAAGGACACAAGGAAAATAATGTGAATTTTATTGGGGCAACTTTTCACCCCCAGGGCTTTACAAGCCTTTACGGGGTTTGAAAAGCCCCTGGAGATTAAAAACTTTCCCACATATTTAAGAGAAGTTCAGAGATTGGTGGTGAATTTGGTAGGGTGTGCAAAAAAAGAAAATTTAAAAAGTATTAAAAAGGAAAAAGTAGGTTATGAGGTAACAAAAAGTTTAGGTGATGAAAGATTGTATCGTTTGGGAGGGAGAGAGTATGGGGGAGGTGATGTATTCACTATTTGGGAGGGGCGTGTCAGCGGATGGGTCTATAAGAAGGGTGATTCATAGAATTGATGAGGGGAAAAGGTGACCAGAGCACTTGGAGTTGTGGAACAAAGAACTTTTTTTCCTTGGAGGCAAAGGGGAATGTATGAAGTATATGTTTTACCAATGCCCTTTTATGGGGGTAAACATGGGTGATGAAAGTTGAGCGAGGAGAAAGGGTGGAGGCAGGGAGATGTCATGTCTGAGGGCAATGTGTGGTGTGAAAATAAGCAGAAATTCGTAGTTTGGAAGTTGGGGGAGGTGCGGGGGGTTTCCCAAAAAGTTGTCCAAGGGTGAGGAAGGGTTGTTGAGGTGGGTTGGACAGTAGAGAGAATGGACGAAACAGAAGACTTCAAGGTGTATCAGTCTGTAGGGAAGGGGCGGGGTAGGGGTCGGGCCCAGAAGGTTGGAGGGAGGGGGGTAAAGGGGGTTTAGTGTCGAGGGGTTGGACTTCCCGCAGGCATGCTTTTAGCGTGTTTGAAAGGGGTGAATGGAGACAAATTTTTTTAATACTTGACTGCTGTTGGAGGTGGCAAAGAACATTTTTGAAAGGGGGTTTAGGGGAAACCCCGGGAGCCGGCTTGAGTCCCGGAGATGGGAAGTACAGTGCCTGCACTTGAAGGAGGGTTTTAAAAACTGAAAGTGTAAAGCACCCTTCTGGCAAGACAGTGATGGAGTGAATGATGGTGAAAGTTTTTCTTTTTTGGGCCATCCTGCCCTGGTGGGAATCGGCCAGTGTGCTAATAAAATAATAAAATAGTTGCACTTGTGTCCTTTTACTTTACATAGTCGGTAATTCTACCAACACTATTACATAATAATACTTTCCAAAGAAGATATAAAAAAATTTATATGAAAAAGCCCATAGTTATGCAAGGTATTTCAAACATTTCATCAGTCTTGCTTATCTCCAACTATTTCTAAAACAATCTTTGCTGTACTGTTTGTATGTGTGTATATAAGTTTTGTTGTTTCTAGATTAATCTTTTAACCTTTCATAAAATATTCTATTGAAAGCTTTCTTAAATTTTAAATAAAATAAATTTGCTTCTCCCTTTCTTTCTTGATTAATTTTTATGAGTCATGATAACTTAATGATTTGATATACTATACAGGAGTTTGTTAATCTAAGAACTGTTTACTAGGTACAGTACCAGGATTTTTTAATGACTTTCTTCAGTGATTTTACAATAATGTCTATCAGCAAGACAGTCCTGTAATTTGATAGTCTGCCCCATTACCTTTTTTAAATATTGCCATAATATTTCCATTAGTCTTACCAGTTTACCTTGTGGTGAAATCCTAAAAATGTTCCACAAATATTCCCCAAAATTCTGTGGAGCTGTGTATGGTGAATCTGATTTTTAAATGAGTGATAACATTTCAGGTGTAACAAAACTGGGGCAACAAGATGGATGGAGTGTTGAAGAGAGTGCGAGAACTGGACTTGCATGATCAGCGTGATCTCCTGGTAGCCCTGGTGGTGGGACATCCACCAGAGGTACAACAAGCTCTTCTTCTTCCCACTGTAACGGCTGCTTCCAGGTCATCCCTTGATATATGTTTGTTTCTATAAGTGAAGGAAAAATAAGTGTGTATAGAATAGATTTTTTAAATTTAAATGTTATACAGTATGTAGAAGGCAGACTACAGTACATAAAATACAGTAGTGCCCCCCGTATCCACAGGGGATGCATTCCTAGACTTACCATGGATAACTGAAACCGTGGATAGTAACAAACCCTATATATATAAGTCATTTTTCATTTACATACATACCCATGATAAAGTTTAATTAATAAATTATGCAAAATAAGCCTAGAATTAGCTTTTTTTCACTGATGGGAAGCATTTCATGGCTTCTCTTAGGCCTTGAACTGCCAGCATCACTACTTTTGGGCTTAAGGGCCAGTATTAAGCATAATTAAGGGTTATTTTGGGGCCACAGTAAACCCTGGATAATTGAAACTGTGGATAACTGAATCTGTGGATATGGAAAATGAGTAACAGTACTGTAGTGGAAAAGAGAGTTGTTGATTATGTGAATTACAGTAGTACAAAAGATGTGAAGGATTAAATGAGTGAAGAGCAACTGAAAGGATGGGTGCGGTAATGTCAACTTTTTTTTGAGAATGAGAAACAGTTTAGAGGGAGATAACTAAGGAAGAAAATTTTTGTGTTTGCTAAAGTAAAAGTTTTGAGATGTGGGATGAGGAGCTAGACATGTTAGATGAGAAAGTAGTACACCTACCATCCGACTTAAGACCGAGTTCGGTTCCGAGAAACCGGTCGTAAGTCAAAATGGTCGTAAGTCGAACTTTACTACTGAATATCAACAAAACATTTTTGTAATGACTTTATTTTATTGTTTTATTTTGGTATTTCATGTTTTACTTTACTTTTTATGCTGTTAGTACTGTATTTTATACTGCAAGGTTCAGGATAAACACTGTGTACAACACAAATAGTTGTTTATTTCCCAGAAATTTGGCATAAAAAACACGGTCGTAAGTCGAGTGGTCGTAAGTTGAGCAGGTCGTAAGTCGGATGGTAGGTGTATTAGGAAAAAAAAATTGGGACGAGGAGGTAGAGGTGTTAGGAAAGCTGGATAAGGAAGTAGAGGTGTTAGAGAGATGCAAGGTTAAGGAGGGAGAGGTGTTAAGATACTGGATAAGGAACAGAGAATGGAAAGCACTCAGTGTCATTCAAGGCCATTTTCTCTGAGGCATGGGTGTCTGTTAAGGCCAGTTTTTATTGTAATTATTTATCACAAGACCACTCCATTCATACATGTTGGCCACATTACCAATGAATACACTGTAAACACTGCAGGAGTGAGCATATCATTCCATTGAGTTTTCTCTTAGCCACACCAAACACAATATCCCAGTTGAGTACTAGTACAGTTGATGTGCGAGTCAGTGAAATATAGATCACTCTCCTCCAGAATGAAGAGATGAGAAGACAGTCACAGGAATGAGTTAGTTCCAAATGGTGACGCAGTAGTTGGAAGTATTTAACCCTTTCAAGGTCCAGAGGCCAAATTTCAAAGTGCACACCAGGGTCCAAGAATTTAAAAAAAAAAATTTTGTTATTTTTTCTTTTGAAATGGTAGAGAATATTTTTCTGAAGGTAATAAAAAAAGTACGAAATTTGATGGAAAATTTATGAAATTATGCTCTCGCGAATTTTGATGTGTCAGCGATATTTATGAATTGGCGATTTTGCCGACTTTGACTCCCATTTTAGGCCAATTACATTATTCCAGTCTACCAAATTCTTAGCTATTTCACTAGTATTACTTCTATTCTATCGATTGAGTACAAGAAATCGCCAAGTCATCTGTTTCAACTACAAAATAAAATGATCGGAAATTTGGTAATTTGGCCAATTTAACACAAAGTTCAAAATATTCCACTTTCAAAATACGGTCCAGAATAAACAATGTAGGTATTCCTGGCACTAAACTAACATTTCCTCTGTTCATTAGTTACGTTTTGAGGCTTTACAAATGAATTCCATTTTGATTTTGTATTCACATAATGAATTTTTATTCAAACCAAAAAATAGAAGATTTACTGCTATGCAATATTGTAATAATTGTATAAATATCATCACCACATTTGTGAATGTATATTAGACCCACCAGCTGGCATGTATTAGATGTGTGAGGTCGTTTGTTTACTCTTGAACATCGGCAAAAATTAAACATTTCCGCTACTTTGAGCTCAGTTTCAAGCCATTTCCAGTACTAAAACCAATCAAAATCATCACTATTTCTGTAATATGTCTTCCATTCTATCAAATCAGACCAAGAAATTGCAAATACATATATAAAAAACATACGAAAAAACACTGCAAAGTCGCTGTTTTAATCGAAAATCAAGGTCTCAGTTTTTTCTCTCATTATACACTGTGTGCTGCAGGATTTGTTTTATGTGGTGCACACATACTACATAGATGTATTCTCTCATATCTAGGCCTAAATTTACCACTCACAGCTTATCATGGCTCATGGCGTTGATCTACGGTTTGGACCCTTAACGTAAAGCCGTAGATCTACGGCACGGACCCTGAAAGGGTTAAGATAGGTGTTAGAGGGAGCCCTAGTGTGCATGTATATAGGAGGCCTAAACATTCTAACTCAGCAAAAAAAAGCTAATTTGGGCTTTAATACTAGTAATATAGAGGTTATCATGACAGGTAGCTATTGCTAACATGATTCATGCAACCTGCACACAAAAGTATATATGTGTGTGTAAAGGTAGAAAGTTGAAAGTGAACATAGAAAAGAGTAAGGTAATGAGGGTATCAAATGATTTAGATAAAGAAAAATTGGATATCAAATTGGGGAGGAGAGTATGGAAGAAGTGAATGTTTTCAGATATTTGGGAGTTGACGTGTCAGCGGATGGATTTATGAAGGATGAGGTTAATCATAGAATTGATGAAGGAAAAAAGGTGAGTGGTGCATTGTGTATATGTGGAGGCAAAAAATGTTATTTATGGAGGCAAAGAAGGGAATGTATGAAAGTATAGTAGTGCCAACACTCTTATATGGGTGTGAAGCTTGAGTTATAAATGCTGCAGTGAGAAGGCAGTTGGAGGCAATGGAGATGTCCTGTCTAAGGGCAATGTGTGGTGTAAATATTATGCAGAAAATTCGGAGTGTGGAAATTAGGAGAAGGTGGGAAGTTAATAAAAGTATTAGTCAGAGGGCTGAAGAGGGGTTGTTGAGGTGGTTATGTCATTTAGAGAGAATGGATCAAAGTAGAATGACATGGAGACCGTATAAATCTGTAGGGAAAGGAAGGTGGGGTAGGGGTTGTCCTCAATAAGGTTGGAGGGAGGGGGTAAAGGAGGTTTTGTGGGCGAAGGGCTTGGACTTCCAGCAAGCGTGCGTGACCGTGTTAGATAGGAGTGAATGGAGACAAATGGTATTTGAGACATGACAAGCTGTTGGAGTGTTAGCAGGGTAATATTTAATGAAGGGATTCAGGGAAACCGGTTATTTTTATATGGCTGGACTTGAGTCCTGGAAATGGGAAGTACAATGCCTGCACTGTAAAGGAGGGGTTTGGGATATTGGCAGTTTGGAAGGATATGTTGTGTATCTTTATACGTATATGCTTCTAAACTGTTGTATTCTGAGCGCCTCTGCAAAAACAGTGATTATGTGTGAGTGAGGTGAAAGTGTTGAATGATGATGAAAGTATTTTCTTTTTGGGGATTTTCTTTCTTTTTGGGTCGCCCTGCCTTGGTGGGAGACGGCCAGCTTGTTAAAAAAAAAAATTCTTGTCCTAATTTGCAAGATTTAATCCAATATTTCCCCTTTAAGGTACGTGCCCCAGACACTGATGAAGGTTCTTAGTCCAAGGAATTGGAGCTACCCTACCTTTCTGTGGATTGAATGATTGCTCCCATTTCCTAAGACACTGTCTGACTTATGGGTTTACTTCTCCTCCCTCCTATATAATTAAAGAAAAATATCCTACATTTTGACTGATGGGCAGTCAGAGAATATATTATTTGCAGAATATGCAGAGTTATTTGGGCTTGGATATTCATACATTATATACACAATATACCAAACCTGTATGGACCAAAAAATGTATTGGCAAAAATCTGTAATGCCTTTGGATGAAATATTTTTGGTACATTTTTCTTATTTACAATTGAAATTCTAGGGGAACACTTTTAGTGTTTTACTTGTCACAATAAGCCTTTTTTTTTTTTTTTTTCAGTTATGTAAAGTGGCACTTGGTAAGTTCCATTTCTAGTCAAGACACCCCAGACCTGTTGAGACTGCTGCCTCCTGAGTTACAGATAGCAGTGCTCCAGTGTGTTGATGGCCCCAGTCTCTTACGAGCATCTCAGGTCTCAAGAGAATGGAATAGGTATGTATTATGCACTTGCTGTTTTGTCCGTAATGCTCTTTTGTAACAGCTTCTGCAGATAAGTTGTTTTGCTTATAATGGTTAATTATAAATGAGAGAGACTTTTATATGAACATGTGTCTCATTCTTATATATAGGATACTGGCAGAATTACACTTTATTTCTACATATATCTATGAATTTTATTTTTTTGTACTGTTGAATTTTACATCCTATGTTGTTGGAGCATCCTGCCTAGCATAGGGCATTCCCTGAGGTAGGCTAATTCTTTGTGATTACCTACCTGTTTGTACTGTAGTTTCAAGTGCAGACTTATACAAGATGCCCCATCATCAATACAGTATTTAGTCTATCATAAAAGTTCTTTGAAGTTTCCAGTGGTTGTAGTACTTACTACTTTTTGTAATTCATTCCATTGTTGAAGAAATAGACATGTGCAACAACTGGGTTTCTTTATTATGTAGACATTTTCTGGATTTATCAGTACAATGCAAGGACAAGACTTGAGGAATCAGAAGCATAGACAGAAAGATACCTGGTTATATACTGGAGTCAGATGAGGTGCAGCAGATGAAGGCATTGTCACTGGTAGGCAGGATTCCCAAGAGTTAAGCCCGAGGTATAAGTAGGGACCACTAGGACCTAGTGGTCCCTACTTATACCTCGTGACTAGGTTGAGGGACTGATTATCTCATCATCTGCCTCTTCATTCTTCTGTTTTTGCCCCTATATTGATAAATCTTCTGGCTGATGAAACAACATGTCTGATGATTTAACTTGTCAATATTGTATGCCATTGATATTGTGATACATTCCATTCTTCTATTACACTGCAAAGATAAACACTGTAGTGTCTTTCAGGCAGTATTTTAGTTTATATAGCCTCTTGTGCCAGTTGATTGTAATACAGTGGAACCTCGGTTTGCGTTTGTCCTGGTTTTCGTTGAATTCTGTTTTTGACGACTTTTTTCATCAAAATATTGTCCCAGTTTTCGTTCATCACCTCGGTTTTCGTCCGCCGTTCTGAACGTGTCTGTCTGCCCGTGCCCACACAAAGCATCCCACGCACACATTCTGAGTCAGTCTGGCTTTGTTTCTCATCGAGTGAACATTACCCTGCACATTCATATGAAACATTTTGTAATAATCCATTAGTTTTTGTGCTTGTTTATTGAGTGCAGCTGCTAAATAAGTTACCATGGGGCCAAAGAAAGTTCCGAGTGCCAACCCTTTGATAAAGAGGTGAGAAACATGATAAAATTCAAGAAAGAACTGGTAGCAAAGTATGAAAGTGATGTACGTGTGGCTGATCTCACCAAGATGTACGGAAAGTCCTCATCAACGATCAGTTCCATCCTGGTGAAGAAAAAAGAAATCAGTGAATCTAATGTTGCGAAAGGGGTAAATGTGCTAACGAAACAGAGATTGCAAACACTCAGAGATGTTGAGAAGTTGTTGTTGGTGCGGCTCAATGAAAAGCAGTTAGCAGGAGATAGTGTTGTGGAGGCGATAATTTGCGAAAAGGTAAGCATGTGGATCTCGTAAAGAATATGCCTGGAACAAGTGCTGCTGAGGAAATTGCTTCAGAGGAGGAGGATTATTATTATAATCAAAAAGAAGCGCTAAGCCACAAGGACGGAGGAGGAAGAGAAAGGGGAGAATATACCTTCTTCAGTGATTAAGGACATTTGTGCAAAGTGGAGTGAGGTACAAAGTTTTGTGGAGAAATACGACCCTAACAAAGCTGTTGCAAGCCATGTCTGCAACATGTTCAATGACAATGCCATGTCCCATTTTAGGCAAATCTTAAAGAGATGCCAGAAACAGACCTCTGGACAGATTTTTTGTGTGACAAGGGTACAGTGACTCTCAAGCTGGTCCTAGTGCCAGTAAAAGACAAAGAAGGGAAGTAACCCCGGATAGTGACTTGATACCTGAAGTCCTTATGGAAGGGGATTCCCCTTCCAAACAATAAACTCTCCTCCCTGCCCCGTCCTCGCCATCTTCCATACACCAACAAGAGTCTTCAATAAAGGTAAAAGTGATTTAAATGTTCATTTATCATTTCATTTGTGCTTTATATTTATTTCTCATTGTTTTCTGTATGTAAAACTATAGTTATTTTCTATAAAATGCATTTTTTGTTAATATTTTTGGGTGTCTGGAATGGATTAATTGGATTTACATTATTTCTTATGGAAATATTGCTTCCATTTTCATCGAATTCGGTTTTCATCAGACTCTCTGGAACAAATTAAAGACGAAAACCATGGTTCCGCTGTAGGAAATTTTCCTTGTCGGTTCTTTAGTATCCTTTTATAATTTTGAATGTGTGTGGCTAGTAATCTGTGTGACAACCATTGCGTCATTGCCTCACCCCTCAAAGAAGGTTCCTTGATGTTCGTGAGAGACCCTTGATCTAAGGAATTGGACCAATGCTCCATTTCCTTGAATTAAGCCTGAATGCGTTCTATTCTCCAAGGCACTGTATGCCCCCTATGGGTTTAGTGCTCCCCCATGAATGTAATAATTCATTGCTCACCTTTGTAATCTTCTATATAGGGTAATAGTTTAATGATGGTAATTTTTTATTTTCACACCAGGCTTTCGTAATAAAATTATTTTAATGATTAAAATGCATACAATACACATTATTAAGTAAGTAAGTTTATTCAGGTATACACAGATACAGTTACATTATCATACATAGCAGCATATGTGTAGAGAACCTAGGATAACCCAAAAAGGTCAGACAGAGTGACTTATTTCCATTGGGGTCAAGTACATATATATGCCATTTAATCTTGGGTAATATTTCTTATTTCAGAATTGTCAAGAATCATCACAGTATATGGCTCAGGAAATGTAAAGAATTGGGAGTAAATGTTGAAAAAGTCAGTAATGATGCTAACTGGCATGAGGTGTATGTGACATCTCTACGGCAGCAGCTGTCTCTTAAGAATGGAACTGCCTTCAGTGAGCGCTTCATGCAACTTCAAAACTGCAAGAAGGCTGTAAAGGCTGTAGATTATCAGAATGGCTTCCTTTGTACAGGTGTGCTGTGTGTGTTATTACAGCAAGTTTACTTTTTTCACAGCTTCATAGTTTAAGTAAATGTATTTTTTTATACTAAAATGCACACTTTAGGTTGTTCTTAAAAGATTTCAAATGAGCGTTTATAACAACATACAAGATATGAGTACATCATAAAAAGTAAGGTGAGAGTAAATAGGTATACTGTAGCATGGTTCTTTGTGTTTCATTTACTTATTTATTGAAAATCAAAGGGCTTGAGATGTGGAGGTTCAAAGTTCAGCACCTGCATTCTGAAGGATGGGTTGATATATTGTGAATCAGATCATTTGAAATGTGATGTCTGTGAACTCTTGGCAAAACAGCTATTGAATGAGTGATTGTGAATGTCTCTATTTGTGTCACCCTAACTTGGTGGGAAACAGTGTGGCAAAAATAATAATACAGCCGCTTCTCACTTAACGACAGAGTTCCGTTCCTAAGATCACGTAAGTAAACAAATTCATTGCTAAGCAAGGAGAACTGTAATGGTAGTGGGTTTGTGTCAGCCATCTTTGATATTGTTTTAATGTCACCTCTGCACTATTTATAACATTTTCAGTACAGTGGACCCCCGCTTAACGATCACCTCCAAATGCGACCAATTATGTAAGTGTATTTATGTAAGTGCGTTTGTACGTGTATGTTTGGGGGTCTGAAATGGACTAATCTACTTCACAATATTCCTTATGGGAAAAAATTCGGTCAGTACTGGCACCTTAACATACTACTGGAATGAAAAAAGTTCGTTAACCGGGGGTCCACTGTATATTTTTAAATGTTTATACAGTAGTTTTACCGTATATTGTAATAAACAGAATAGAGGAAATCAGCTGTAATATATATTATTTAGATATGTATACTGGTCAGAGAACCCGTCAGAGTCGTCGGTAAACGAGTACGTCACAAAGTGAGAAGAGGCTGTAATGATAATTGTGCAATTATAGCCCAAACATGTTTTTAGGTTACAGTACCAAAGGCAAGGTAGGGGTCATCCTACAAAAGGTTGGCAAGAGAGTAAAGGAGGTTTTTGTATGTGAGGGGCTTGGACATTCAACAGGTGTGTGAATGTGTTAGATAGGAGTGAGTGGAGGCAGATGGATTTTTATGACTTTACATGTGTTGGAGTGTGAGCAAGGTGGGATTTATGAAGGATTTCAGGGAAACCAGTTAGCTGGACTTGGGTCCTGGAGGTGGGTAGTACAGTGCCTGGACTTTCAAAGAGGCTATAATGTCAGCATGCCTCTGGTAAGACAATGATGAGAGTGAATGATGGTGAGTGTTTCTTCTTTTCTGGGTCACCCTTCCTTGGTGGGAGATGGCTGTTGTGTTAAAAAAAGTTTGCATATAAGCAAATTACACTCCAGATAACCTACAACATTTGCTGCCAGTTGTATTTATCAGTGGTTATGATTCATCTGTTGCACAAAACCAATACTATACTACAAACTTACGAATCACTTGAAAGATACACTGTACTTAACAATTCAGCATACAGTAAGGCATATGCCATTTGTCCATCTTGAAAAGAAATGGGAAGACAGATGGTGCAAATAAGAAGAAAGGATGTAAAGAATGGCAAAACTGCAAAGGACGTTACAGAGATGGATAAAATAAAACAGTCTAGCTCATATTGCTACATTAAGAGTTTAGCCAGTCATTATTGACTTTTATGAGAGTAGTACTGTAGTGGTTTGTGGGAGGCCAAGGCCAACAGTTCTGCTATCTGCAAGTTAAATTAAATATACTTTTAAATTTTTTCAACCTTACCACTTTTCATAATTGATATTCAGGTGGAATATTATATGTTAATTGTTTCGTCTTTCTTTTTCAGTGTCAGAGGAAGACTACGTAAATATCTGGCAGCTGGAACTCAACATTCCAGTGCTGACCTTCCCAGTCGAGCGTGCTGTTTCTTGCATTAAGTTCAGATCAAATTCTCTCCTCATCTGTGGCCATTTTGTTGGCATCTTAACTGCTTGGGATGTAAGCATGATGAGTAGACTGTCATGTGTGGTGTATAATGCTGCAGGTGACAATCCTGGTGATCATGCTCTCCTCAGGTGCAAGTTTAAGATGCATGCTGGTCCTGTATTCAGTAGTGACTTCTCCGAAGACTTGGATTTGTTAGTGAGTGGAGGAGCTGATGAGTGCATCAAGTTGTGGGGCCTATCAACCGGGTTACTTATTAAGTCTCTGCCTAATCAAGATCATTGGATTTTGCGTGTTATTCTTTTACCAGATTTATTTTACAGTTCCCACCATGTTGTTATATATATGACAAGAGATAATGTAAATAAAATAAGCTGGCCTGCTAATAACAACAGAAATTTTAACAATGACCTAAACTCTGTGGAAAATATATCCAATGACAATAATGATCTCAATTCTGACTGTGTAATGGACAAACTGGGTAAGGTAGATGAAATCTTATTGAATTCACATATATGCCTCAATGAAGGGAACAATAATTTCTTTACACCAGGTCTTCAGTACAGCAGCAAGTTTGTGGGACTAATCAAACAAGATATTGACGAGAAACATGCAAACTTGTGTGTATACGACATAGATACATTTAAACTCTCGTATAATATCATTTTAAAATTCAAAGTGAAAAAACTTCTGGCTCTTGGGAACAGATATGCCCTACTCTTAACTGTTGGCAATGTTCTGTACTCTTCAACACTAGTGGTTGTGGATGTTGTAACAGGAGAAACTGCTGGCACCCATGCAGTTCCACATTCCAAGTAAGTTATGCAGTTTTTTAATCCACTTTGTCTCTTGTGCCACTTCCACTACTCCCCCTACCTACTACTGCTACTACTACTACTACTACCACCAACCACTGCCACCACCACCGCCACCACTACTACTACTTCCACTACCAGCATTACCTCTACCACTGCTTTCTCCGCCTACTCCTTTCTTCCTCCTATCTTGATCCCATCCCTACCCTACTCTTGTATATATACTGGCTCCTTTACCTTATGATTATTAATCTTAAGTTTTAAAGGAGTGGACCAGTTGTTCGCTTTAGATTTGTTGGTACGTATAATCGCCCGGCCCAGGACTTTTCCAAGAGGTGGTCCAGCCTTGGCTCCCTTTTGTGGAATGTCTCAGACCAACGTCTGCCATAGGAGGAGGTACAAGTACCTCCTAGTCTTCTAGGACCAGCTGTCCCTAGGCCTAGCCCCATTCTCCGCCCCCACGAGGGCTCGGAGGAGAAGCTAGGTACCTTGGGCTGCCACAAACCCTGCCCACACTGGGCTCGAAGGATGTGGCAGCTGCATAGCAGCAGATGATGTCATGAGGTGCAAGGGCAGCAAGCACTACAGGATCCTTTTCGAGCCACACCCCAGCTTTGGGCCGAAGCCCGAGCGCTGGGGAAGCTCAAGAATGCCTCTTGCTATAGTGTTGCTGCTGCTACTTCACTTGTTTACCTGGAGTTTACCTGGAGAGAGTTCCGGGGGTCAACGCCCCCGCGGCCCGGTCTGAGACCAGGCCTCCTGGTGGATCAGAGCCTGATCAACCAGGCTGTTGCTGCTGGCTGCACGCAAACCAACATACGAGCCACAGCCCGGCTGATCCGGAACTGACTTTAGGTGCTTGTCCAGTGCCAGCTTGAAGACTGCCAGGGGTCTGTTGGTAATCCCCCTTATGTGTGCTGGGAGGCAGTTGAACAGTCTCGGGCCCCTGACACTTATTGTATGGTCTCTTAACGTGCTAGTGACACCCCTGCTTTTCATTGGGGGGATGGTGCATCGTCTGCCAAGTCTTTTGCTTTCGTAATGAGTGATTTTCGTGTGCAAGTTCGTTACTAGTCCCTCTAGGATTTTCCAGGTGTATATAATCATGTATCTCTCCCTCCTGCGTTCCAGGGAATACAGGTTTAGGAACCTCAAGCGCTCCCAATAATTGAGGTGTTTTATCTCCGTTATGCGCCGCCGTGAAAGTTCTCTGTACATTTTCTAGGTCGGCAATTTCACCTGCCTTGAAAGGTGCTGTTAGTGTGCAGCAATATTCCAGCCTAGATAGAACAAGTGACCTGAAGAGTGTCATCATGGGCTTGGCCTCCCTAGTTTTGAAGGTTCTCATTATCCATCCTGTCATTTTTCTAGCAGATGCGATTGATACAATGTTATGGTCCTTGAAGGTGAGATCCTCCGACATGATCACTCCCAGGTCTTTGACGTTGGTGTTTCGCTCTATTTTGTGGCCAGAATTTGTTTTGTACTCTGATGAAGATTTAATTTCCTCATGTTTACCATATCTGAGTAATTGAAATTTCTCATCGTTGAACTTCATATTGTTTTCTGCAGCCCACTGAAAGATTTGGTTGCAATGTCCATTGCACTCTGTCCTGAGTGGACCAGTAAGCCAGTGGAAGGGCTCGATCAGATGACCAAAAACTCAAGTGGTGGACCATCATATGATCAAGAAATAGTTGTCCTGTTTCCTGACGAAACTAATGTAACCTAAACTAAATTCCGCTAGTTTATGCATGAGTAATGTTTTCACTACTAACTAAATAAAGCTCAGGTACAGTATTGATTTGATGATGCCAGGGATCAAGAGCTCCTCAGTGCCCTTCAAACCTGTAAGGGTTAATGTATTGTAATGGGATGTATTGCTGTATTTCAGTTGTGGGTTGTAATAGGAACAGTGTTATAGAGAAGTAACCAGTCATTGATACTTGATGTTCCTTTTTTGAAACTTACTGAATGTCTTAATACAAGCTTACACTTCATGTTTTCATTTTAAATTAAAGTTTATTGTTATAAAATGAGATAGTTTACTGAATACTGTATATAAATACAGTAGGTTAAAAAATATAAATTGAACTGATGTGCCCCCTCAATAAAATTTATACGAATTGTGTATATTTGACAGAATGACAACTCCGGATGGTGCGCAGCTTGTGGTGGGTGATGTAGAGTGGCTTGATGGACTTGGAATGCACTTACCAGGGCCATCGGTAATGTCAGTAAGTGCTGAACCAAATTCTGAAAAATCTGACTGCAGTAAAAGTTCTCCAAGTTGCTCTTATACTGCAACAGAAACACAAAATCTCAATAGACCCAGTAGCATAGTGTATAGTGATGTTTGTTACAGAACATATACTCAAAAGGGCAGTCCAGAGTCAGGTGTACAAAAATACTCCACCTATCATGCATGCGTAGAAGGAAATGTTTGGGATTGTCAAGATTCGTCCTCACCTTCTCCTGTTGGTGCTACGGGAGGAGATTGGTGCCTAGGTTATGCACAGTCAGAGCCTCAGTACTCTAACAACAACAGGCCTGTTACTGTCTCTTCAAATGATGTGCCCCTCCAGGTTACAGGGCTTCAGTCTCATGGCATCAACATGACATTCAGTAGTACCAAAGAGAGACATATTTCAGTCAAACTAGAGAGGCCGGGTCACTTGGTGTTGGCTGCAGGAGTGCAGAGTGAGCCTGGAAGGTTGTTCACACTATGGTGGTCTCAGTCTACACTGGCATCAAAATGTAAAGAGGAATAGCAGACTGTGTGAAAGAGTAGACGAATGTATTATAACGTGTGAATTTTAGATCTATACCTGTGTGTCCTTTCTAGGGAAAGTGGGTGTTATGATGCAAGTCAAGGGTCTTGATTCAGCTAACAGGAGCTACCCTTCCCTTCCTCGAATCAAATTTGATTTTCTTCCACTCTCCAGGCACTGTATGACCCATATGGACTTTATGCTTCCCTGTGAACTTTACATATAATAAATTTTTTTTATAATGTATACCTATGTTATAGGTAGTAGGTTGGTAGACAGCAACTGCCCAGGGAGGTACTACCGTCCTGCCAAGTGAGTGTAAAACAAACCTGCAATTGTTTTACATGATGATAGGATTGCTGGTGTCTTTTTTCTGTCTCATAAACATGCAAGATTTCAGGTACGTTTTGCTACTACTTCTTACACTTAGATCACACTACACATACATGTATACAAGCACATATATATACACACCCCTCTGGATTTTCTTTTATTTTCTTTCTAGTGCTTGTTCTTGTTTATTTCTTCTTATCTCCATGGGGAAGTGGAACAGAATTCTTCCTCCATAAGCCATGCGTGTTGTAAGAGGCCACTAAAATGCCGGGAGCAAGGGGCTAGTAACCCCTTCTCTTGTACAAATTACTAAATTTAAAAAGAAAAACTTTCATTTTTCTTTTTGGGCTACCCTGACTTGGTGGGATACGGCCGGTTTGTTGAAAAAAAAACTATACCTATGTGCAACGTGCATGTTTTGCTTCCATTTAATGAAGCCAAACAATATGTTTCAGTAGAAGTGCTAAACCATTAAGGGTCATAGCATTACTGTACGATCCCTTCAGCTTGAGCATTTAATTGGATTACGTATATTATTATTTAAGGGCCATACAGTGCCTCGGAAATGGTGAAGAAGGACGGTAATCAGGTTTGATCTGAAAAGTGGGTGAGTAGGTCAACTTTCCTGTATCAAGAACTCTTCACTGTACCCCCGTCCCCTCTCCTCGAAGTGAAACACTACTGAGAATGAAGAATTAGAAACATGTGCAACATCTGGGTATCTTTATTTTTAGGCATTTTGCCATTCAGTGACTTCATTGATACAAATTCAAGGACATAATGTGAAGACTGTAGAGCTATATACAAAAGACAAGGTAATCAGTCCCTCAGCCTTGGAATTGGTGATGAGCACCATAGTCTTGAAGAATCTGAAGCACAGTCATGAAGCTTGGTGCTTATATACTGGCATCAAATAAGGAATGTTGAGGAAGAAGCAAAAAGTTCAGGAAACTAGGCAGACTGTTTTTAGCTGACTAGTGGTAAATCAGACACTGGCCATAGTGTAAAAAATAGCATGAAAACTTTACAATTAATATAGGAATAATTAAGATGTTTAACAGCCTAACAGGAAGACCCCTGGTTATGGAAAGTATCTTTGAATTAACAAGGAAACTAGGTAAAGATGTACCAATAAGTAAAGCTTAAAGTAACTTTTATTTTGGTATTGAGTTAGATAAGTGAATCACGATTCCCACATCACTACTTTTAAGTGCTTCCTATCTCTCTGATTTATGGACATTTTCTACATGGCAGATGCCATGATGCTGGTGAAGGTTTTTGATCTTAGGAACTGCTGTGGCTCTCCCTTTCCTTGAATCACACTTGATTTACCTCCCATCCCTCAGGCACTGCATGACTCCTATGGATTTACCTCTTCCCCATGAATACAATACCGTAATACTAGACATAATTCTTCACTATGCATTGTGTGCCATCACTGCCATAACATACACAACTGGCATGGTGCACTACACTGACACAGTGCCAGATCATACCATATTATACACAGTACCTCAACACCATATCACATTTGCATGTGCTTTGTTCATTTATACATCTAATGCCCTTCTAGGTAGTTACCTTGACACTGGTAAAGGGTTCTTGATCCAAATAATTAGAGTTACTCTCCCTTTCCTCTGATTGAATCTGATTGCCTCCCATTCCCAAAGTACTGTGTGATCCCTATGGGTTTTATACTCCCCTCCCTCATAAACATGTATCACCCTATACGTATAACCTTCCAGTTGTTCTCTTTTCACCTTGTAAATGACCTATTTTGTTATATTGCATCCTCTTATTTTTACTGCTTTCTCTGTTAAGATTATTGACAGTCTTGCTAGAAGGAGTTCAAACCACAACAGTCTGACTGGAAGGAGTTCAGGCCACAACAGTCTGATTGGGAGGAGTTCAGGCCACAACAGTCTGATTGGGAGGAGTTCAGGCCACAACAGTCTGACTTGAAGGAGTTCAGGCCACAGCAGTCTGACTATGAGTTCAGGCCACAGCAGTCTGACTGGAAGGAGTTCAGATCACAACAGTCTGACTGGAAGGAGTTCAGATTACAACAGTCTGACTGGAAGGAGTTCAGACCACAACAGTGTGACTGGAAGGAGTTCAGACCACAACAGTGTGACTGGAAGGAGTTCAGACCACAACAGTCTGACTGGAAGGAGTTCAGGCCACAACAGTCTGACTGGTCACAGACCAGGCCACAATTAGTAGACATTGGAGTGATCCTTCACCACTCCTTGCACTGAATAACCCACACAGGTTAAGTGGTTCATTAGATGCAATACAATCTTGTCATGCACTTCACACTTGTAATGCTTATGTAAAAAAGGAAAGATTCATGTGTGTCATACAGACAACATGCTGTACAGATAAGCATGTCATATAGACAACAGTATTGTAGACAAGTCCACTGTAAAAACAAGCATGACGTATAGACAAGTATTGTATAGACAAGTGCTGTATGGACAAGTATTGTATAGACTAAGTGTTGTACAAACATATACACTGGAGGCTAATACCCATTTCAAATACCTTGTGGAAGTAGACCTGGAAAACAGCCCAGCATGAAGAAGAAGGAACTATCCAGATTTCAAGATAGAGGACTACGTAAGAATCAAGGAATTCGTAAATACAGTGTAGTGGGAAAGGAGTTGGAAGGAAAGAAGACAAATGAGATGGAGCACATAGCCATAAAGTAAAGGATGAATTCATACCCAGAAGAGGCCAGAAAGAGCTTGTGGTTCACTTGAAGATACAGAAGGGCAATAACAATATGCATTTAAGCATGAAAAACCTACAGAAAGTGAAGGACGATAGAATATAAAGAAGTGATTAAGAGGAAAAGAATGAAATATTAATGGATGAAGAGAGCCTGACAAACAATTTCAGACTGAAATAATAGCAATAGTCTGAATCAAAACAAACACAGCCATACAGAATGATGACAATAAAACATCAGGTGATAAGGTTGAAGGAGAGAAGAGAGATCACAAAGAATGACAAGAAAATCTGTGAGGAACTGAAACTTAAGGAAGAGAATACTTTAGAATCAGGAACAACACTATAAAAACAAAGGATACCAATGAGTAGTGACTCAATTCATGCAGCAGGGAAAGAAGTGACAGTCACCAGGGGTTCCAAGAGGAAGCAGAAGTACAATGTAAACCACTAGCAAAGTGTTATAGTAAGAGTTCATGCACAGGAGGATGATAGGCATCGCATATTAAGATAGGCACATTGGTAAATTATCATAAAGATAACTAAGAATCATATAGTGTTTGGGAACTACTAGGTAGTCAGGCTGGGTACCTCATACAAAAATTAACGTAGTAAAAATTGAATATATATTGAATCATGGCCATAACCTAAAGCACAGTAGTAAATATTAAAGTTATGGTAAATGTGTCTGTCATGTTAATCAACAAACACAAGTAAACAAATATGTCACAAATATTTATTATTAGTCACCAACATATGTACAAATAAACAATGTTAATAATCCAGTATTACTCATATCTTGTAACTTAACAGTGTGTGTAAACAAAACAGTTATTGTAAACACCAGTCTCTACACTATGAATTGTACTTGACTGATATTATTTTGTAATATTTTAAGATGTGATGAAATTTAAACATGCCAAGATATGCAAATTATAAATACACCACCACCTGTCTTGTCTTAAAAAGTATCAGTTTTGGTATAGTAACAGCAATTACAGTCATTGGAATATACAAAAATAAACATTAATAAACTATAATACATAAAATACAATAATAGGAATGTAACTCAAAAACTATGAAACATGAATCTCAGGTGCATCATAAACTTAACATATACAGTATTGTGATTTTAATCACTTGTATTACTTATCTGTTGCAGATAATAAAGTTTCTGTTCATGCAATTTAGCAAGAAAGTTCTCAATTCTCTCCTTCCTGGCTGATGCATGGGCACCAATATGTTCCTGTGAAACCTTGTCACCATATTTAGTATGGCAACATTCTATGTCACTTTCCTCCACCATACATTGCCTCAGTGCCAGGCATTCTTGTCGTGCTGCTGTGAGTGTATGATAATGCCTCTGGTAATAGAATACTGCACCGAAGAGATGCCAAATTGTGAATTCTGGCCATAGAACTTTAGTGAAGAATAAGCAAGAAAACCCACTCTGCCATAGCAAAAAGTCAGAAAGGCGAACCTCCCCAGATGTGCGCACTAAGAGGTCAGGATCGCGCGAGCCTCGAGTATGCAGACATTTTTCTAATAACTCTTCAGAAATGTCACTTGTCATCAGTTGACCTTCAGCTACCCCTTGTGATAACTCATTCATGGCAGAACATATTTCATCCCGCGATGTATACGCTAGAGCCAAGTTTAGAAAACACTTAGTATTATGTCTAGTAGCCAATATTGCCTCTCCTGTAAGCTTCTTGATGCGCTGAGGAAGAAGATTGAGATCACCAATCACTCGTATGCACACTCCATGCTTTTCTAATTTTTCCTTTTCTTCTAACAATTTTGCAAACTTTTCTGCAGCAAGATCCATCAACCCATCCACCTCTTGCTTGGATCGTTTAAAGTTTTCAATACTAAAGGCATATGCTGTAACCTCATTGATTCCTAAATCCCGACACCAACACAACACCTCAGTCAATTTGTGAAATCCTCGTGTGTGACCAGCGAGCGCGTCCTTGTGTTCTTTACGGGCAAATCTGCGATTACCATCCATTATAATTGCTAGGTGATTGGGTACAGGTCCCACACGTAAAATGCGCAGTGCAGCCCATTCTGCCCACGTACGGTCTTGTTCCACAATCCACGTCATCTTCCTGTTAATCCTCTGTGCCTGTTACAGAAATATAAAAACTAATAAACACAGTAACCAATAAATTATATTATGTAAATTTAAGCATTGGACATTATGCTTGTTTAATCCTCTCTGCCTGTTACAGAAATATAAAAACTAATAAACACATTAACCAGTAAATTATATGTAGACATAATGTAAATTAAAGCACTGGACATTATGCTTGTTTAATATTTAAAAGTAAATGATTATGACTAATGAAATCATAACACGATTGCAGACAAACCACGGGTTCAAACCCCACCTGTTCCATGGTTAGTAAATGATTAAATGAATTGTAAGGCAGACAGGAAGAATGGAATGGCGTGGAAGAGACAATCTTGCTCAGGAGAGCTCATCTTTATAATACAGTAATTGTTAATTTTATGACTGTCTCTTAAAGTTTGTGTTTACCCAGATATCATTACTACAAGATACCATCCTACCAAATTATGTAGTACGTATATGTATTCTGAAATTATTATTATTATACATAATCAAAACCAAGTGCTAAACCCACAAGGGTCATACAGTGTATATTTAAAAAAAAAATATGTTAGATTAGGTTAATTTATTTAACCTTAACTGACTATACCTAAATTAGCGTAGTTAAACCTAAGCAGAAGAATGTTATCTTGTACCATTGTCCGGGCAAACAGGGAAGACTGGTAATAATGTTTAAGCATGTAGAAAGACACTGTACTGTTGTAGTATTTCATGAAGCACTAAACCCATGTAGGTCTTTCAGCACAATGAGTGATGGAAACTCGCTCCTCTGTTTGCTAGTCTCAGCCCAGTCACTGACCAGGTGTGCTGTTTAATCCACATTGCTAAATGTGTACATTGTTAAATGTATTGGAAAATATACAATCTCAATATGAAGACAGATTACCAGAGATGAGACTACTATCCACTAGCCTCAGTAGAGGGTTTCAGCACTAGAATACAGGTACTAAATATATAAATTGCCTTGCCAGAAGGAATTAACAACTATATACTATACAAGATAAGCAATAAAAATGGTTGGATAAGCAGGTTGTGTTAGACATATAGCAAATGACATTTATGTTCATTCTTTGTAAAGGAGGTGTGTTTTAACAATGCTGTATTTGTGAAGTGATTGGTAGAAAGGAAACTAAGAATCTTTGTATAGGGAGTGCCATCTTTTTGCAACTTTTATCTGCATGGGGTATCTGCTTAGGTTAGGATAAACATGTGGGATATTAATGACATACAAGACAGTACAGCGGATCCCCGCATAACGATCACCTCCGAATGCGACCAATTATGTAAGTGTATTTATGTAAGTGCGTTTGTACATGTATGTTTGGGGTCTGAAATGGACTAATCTGCTTCACAATATTCCTTATGGGAACAAATTCGGTCAGTACTGGCACCTGAACATACTTCTGGAGTGAAAAAATATCGTTAACCGGGGGTCCACTGTATTTGTTTCCTGTTTTGTGTCAATGCATGCTGCTGTAGCTCTCCAAGAAAAGCTTTAGAACTGAGTTAATATTTCTATCAAGAGTCTTGCACATATACACAATAGGATGCAGAGTAGTGTGTATGTTTTGTCGAGTAAATCAAAATTTTCAAATAATGGGGGCGAGTTGTCTGGAACCTTACTGAGTGAATATTCTAATGGAAGATTTTTATTGAGTTACAATGAGTTTTTGGTGATTTGCTCTTGTAGAACCCCATGCACATATACCATATGTAAGATAAGTATAGATTAAAAACTAATAAAGTGACTTTTTTTTTTTTAGACAGTCCAACTGTTTTAGAAATTTTCTAAGATATGTGTTCGATGTGATTGTTAAATTCTAGTTTCCTGGCAAGGTCTAAGAATTTTCCCATCTTTCAATGGGTGTGTTATTTACCTTTATGTTCAACTGAATCTGTTTAGCTTTATTCCTAAGCACTATGTAGAAGGTTTAACCAATGTTAAGTAGTACAAGTTTGTTGGTTGTTATCCAATAAGATATCTTTATGAGCATCTCATAAAGTTTTCTCAAGGACAACCAGATTTAGATTTGAGATGATAAAATTTGTGGCAACTGCAACCTGTTTAAGTTCCTAGAAGGCATTAGGTAAGTCATTAGTGCAGATGAGAAATATTAGCCCTGTGCTGATGGGTCGAGGTGACAAAATGTCATCATTAGAGATTGTGTGTTAGTGTCTGTGTTTAAGGCTGGACTTCATCATTGGAAGGTTATTATTATTATTATTATTAATAATAATAAAAAAGAAGCTCTAAACCACAAGGGCTATACAGCGCTGTTCATCACTGTAAGAGAATGGTCTCTGATTCCATTATACTCTAGCTTGAGCAGCAGAATGTTGTGGTCTGCTATAACAAAAGCTTTTCTTATATGTATCAGCAAAGAGGCCCATTGGATATTAATTTTTTCCAGAGATGAATAAGTTGAACAGAGTCTTTTTATTTTTACTGCACAATTCTTACTTTTTTTCTAGTCTAAAACCAAACTGACAAGGGTTAAGAATATGAATATTATATTTAGTTATTATTGCATACATTTGTTTATGTATTATTTTTCCATACAGTATTTAGGATAATTGTGGCAAGTTAGAAAATGCCCTGTAGTTATTTATTTATGTTGGGTCTCCACTCTTATGGATTGGTCCAACCAATGACCATAAGGTAAGGTGCTCAAAATTATGTAGGCTAGGAGAAATACCATGCCCTGGCTGAGAGATCCAGTTAAGTGTGGGCCTAGCTGGGGACATACAGTACATTTAAACTTCATGTCAGCTTGAAGAAGGGCCCAGCTTCATGCCCCTAGATAGGCCACAGCCAAGGGTAACCCATGCCCATGGGTAGTAAATTTAACAGGATGAACAGAAGAGGAAAGAAGAGGGCTTACTGCCTCTAAAGTTTGCGCATGAGGGCATAGTGGGAGTCAGCCATACTGGTAGGCAAATTAAGTGCTAGTAATGCCATACTGTATTTACCTTTCACTTGTTGTAACTAAGTGGTATATATTTGAAAAAAAATTGAGATGTCTGATACCTGCTGTGCTGTGCTGTGGGAAGTTCACACAGGTAGCAGAAAAATTAATCTCTTATTGCATTCCTGTTGAAAAAGGTAGTCGAGGAAAGTGGCAAGCAACAATCAAAATACAAAACTGCATGTCAACAGGTTACATGCCTGGGTAGCCAACATTTTGCCTTAGGCAAGTAGTTGACAATTATTCATGTTAACCATACCCTTGAAGGGAAGTGCCTTGATGCCAGTATGGGGCTCTTGATCTAAAGAACTGAACCTATCCTTCCCTTCCTTGGATCAAGCTGACTGCCTCCCATTCTGAGGCAATATATGACTTCTACAAGCTAATGCTTTTCCCTAACTTTAATAATACAGTAATAATAAATTTTTTAACACCGACTGTCTCCCACTGAGGTAGGGTAGCCCAAAAAAGAAGAAACACTTTCACTATCTTTCAGTCACTGTCTTGCCAGACACATGCTGACAAGAAAGCTGAGATGGCCCTCCACACTGCAACATTCCTGCCTCCCTTACAGTGAAGGCTGTATGTTCCCACCTCCAGGACTCTAAATCCCTTCATAAGTGTTTACCATAAAACAAAATGTATAACTTTGAGTAAAGTGGGCAATAGGTACTAAGGCAGAATAATTCTTCCAACAATCATATACTGTAAGTATACAGTACTGCATATCAAGATCATGCATGATAGCTGCAATTAACCAGTAAAGTGTCCAAACGTATATATACGTTTTTTCAACATTTGAAAGGATGTAAAAAAGTAGATCTTTTTTTTTTTTACATTTGAAAATGTGTAAAAAATTTTGATCTACTTTTTTTTTTGTTATATTTGAAAATATGTAAAAAAAACGTAGATCTACTTTTGGAGCACTACACATGTGAATGTAGATCTGCCTGGACTGTTTATGGGTTAAATAACACTTGACATTTACCTCACTAGCTTATTCAGTCTTTTACATCACTAGCTTATTCAGTTGCCACCTCTCTATTGCAATTTAAACCACTTTGTTATGTAGAGAAATTGTTCATACTGAACTGTCCCACAAAACTCAAATTACATGTTATAATCCTTAACTAAGTATGGTACTTGAACTAGCATTAAGTAGTTAGTACGTACTGAACTAGTTTTAGTCTGCCTGAAATGTTTCACAAAATAAGGGTTTTTTCCTAGAAGGTACAAAATGATGTAATACCAGAGATGAAACATGTAATTCTTGGAAATAAAATTTCACTTTTACTTTGACTTTGATTTATGTAAAACTATGAGGAACTACAGTGGACCCCGGTTAACGATATTTTTTCACTCCAGAAGTATGTTCAGGTGCCAGTACTGACCGAATTTGTTCCCATAAGAAATATTGTGAAGTAGATTAGTCCATTTCAGACCCCAAAAACATACACGTACAAACGCACTTACATAAATACACTTACATAATTGGTCACATTCGGAGGTAATCGTTATGCGGGGGTCCACTGTATAATGTAAATTCTGGAGCAGAAAGGTTACTCAGTGTTACAAAATATCACTACAATGTACACTGCATACAAAAATTTAGACAATTAGTCATAAAACAAGACTAAACAACCCATGGCTAACAAAGGTTTTACCTGATTGATTAATAAGAAACCTAAGAAAAAGAAATACAGTGGTACCTCGTTTTACGAACAGCTCAAAACTCAAACAATTATGTGTTTTTATGTAAGTGCTTTTGTAAGTGTACTTTTGGAGGTCTGAAACAGATTAATCTACTTTACATTATTACTTATAGGAACAAATTTGTTCAGTATCGGCACTCGAACAGCCTTCTGGAACGAATTAATTTCATATGCCGAGGTATCACTGTACTGTATAAGCAACTTAGTTCAATATCTTTATTATACACACCAAACCCATCCTTTGGGCATTAGTCAAAAGATTACAAAGTGAGTTTATTTAGGTACATTTACACATGTTTGTAGATGAATGGTTCAG